CGGCTCGCAGCCCGAGGGGCGCGGCTCAAGGTGACACCTCACCGCGCGGGGCGTCCCCGGCCAGGGCCCGGCTTCCCTCACCTGGCAGCGGCACACGATGTCGGCGTCCTGCGCGAGCAGATCCACCACCTTCCCTTTGCCCTCGTCGCCCCACTGCGCGCCCAGCACCACCGTCACCCGGTTCCCTCCGGGCCGCGCCCTGGGGCGGCCGCAGTCGCCGTTGGGCAGGGAGGCGGTCGCCGGGTTGCTCTCGGAGATCGACATGGCTCCCGTCAGGCCAGAGGAGCCTTGAGGAGACGCGGCGGGAGAACAGAGCGTGAACCTAACTGCTGCGCGGCCGCCAGCCACATGCGGAGGAAGGAGGCAGAGGCCGGCCCCGCCCCCGCCCTGCGGGCCACCACCCTCTCGCCAGGCCCCGCCCCGCGCTCCGCCACCCGCTCAGGGCGGGACCACTTCGCGCAGGCCGGAGCCGCAGCACCGCCCGCAGGCGCCACGGCCTCAACGGCCGCCACCCCAGGGCCGAGGCCACACCCCTTCCCCCCGGCCTGGCGCGCTGCTCAGCGCAGAACCGCGCGAGAGCGGGAGGGGGCGTGGCCTAGGGAGAGCTCCGCCCTCAGTGCCCCGCCCATCAGCCTCTTTTGGTGCTTTCAAACTCAAGAGGCGCGGAAGGGCGTGAGAGCCGTGAGGGGCGTGGGGGGTGTGGGACTACAACTCCCAGCATGCAGTGCTCTGCAAGGCGGCCAAGGAGCAGCGCCATGGTGTCGTGGTCGGCTGGTTTTCGGTGTCTGAAAGCCAATTTTGTTTTCTGTGCCTAAAGACTTGGTTTTGTTAAGGAATGAAATGTCCTTACAAAACCCAAACTGGAATTTATATATGAAAGCTGGGATGGAGCCAAATACATTTGGAAGCGGAAAAGAGCTTCAAGTGCAAACTCAAAAACAGTAGAAGTGGAGGACGTTAAGACATCTAGAGATGTAGATATCATTTTTGCAGTACCTGAGACGCAGAGATGAGTCAGTTGCCTACGTCATGCGCCTGGGTTATTTGATCCCCACAATCTTACTATATTTTATAATATACATTGTTTCTATAAAAGAATTTCTCTTCTACCCCTTTCGTTTTTTCTTTCTTAATGCATTAGAGATCATCAGAACCTTGAAATTTGAGGCAAATACTCTACCACTGAGTTCTTCCGCCTAGACCTTCAGACTAATAGAGTTCAACTTTTCTCATGAGAGTTGAAATGGTACCTCAGGCCGTCTCTGCAGACTGAGTAAGCCTATGTGCTTTCTGTATGTTCTGTTCTCAGTAGTTCCAGAGAATGCCTTGAGAGACCAAAGAATTAAAAATTGTTTTTGGGGGGGTATTGATTTAAAGCACAAGCTTTAACAAAGGCCAGACACATGGAGACACGCCCAGCCACCTGTGAGGAAGAAACAACCTCACTGCATTCTTTTCCTGCCCACTAGGGATATAGTTGCTAGGAAACTGACCCAGATAGCCCCTCTACCCCTAGGATGGCCAAACAAGGGAAGCCAGACCATTAACAGTTTGGGGACCTTCCTATAGCCAATCAGTTCAAAATGCAACATCCCCTTTTGTGTTTCATCTAATAAATGCTTGCCAGGCAGGAATTTTCCTGCTTTGGCACTTTGGGAGGGACCGGAATCTTTAAATCACCCACCTAACCTGAGCACAAGGCTCTCTGCTCTCAACTGCCATGGTGATGACCCAAGCTTGTAATAAAAAGATCCTCATGTGTTTTGCAACAGACTTGAGTCCTGGGGTCTTTTGGGGGCTCGTGAATCTTGCACAGCAACTTATTGTCTATATAATGTGGGCTTATCTCTTATTTATATATATTAGGGGGGGCCATGCATGGTGCATGAGTGTGTGTGTGTGTGTGTGTGTGTGTGTGTGTGTGTGAGAGAGAGAGAGAGAGAGAGAGAGAGAGAGAGAGAGAGAGAGAGTGTGTGTGTGCACATGCTCATGAAGGCCAGCAGAGGGCTTCCGATCCCTGGGGAGCCATTTGGTAATACAGCTGTTCTTACCCTGTGGGTCCCCTTTGGGGGTCAATCAGCCCTTTCACAGGGGTCGCATATCAGATATCCTGCCTGTCAGATATCTACATTACTATTCATAACAGCACAAAATTACAGTGATGAAGTAACAATGAAATAATTTTGTGGTTGGAGGTCACAACAACATGAGGAACTGTATTAAAAGGTCACAGCACTAGGAAGGTTGAGACCCACTGAGATAAAAGGCGCTGAGAAGGGAATCCAGATCCTCTGGAAGAGCAGCAAGTGCTCTTAACTGCCGTGAGCCACTTCTCCAACCGGATCTAATGTTTTCACTGCAACCCAGATTAACAACATTAAATGTTGATAAAAATTGGAAAAACACTAATAAATGACTGGGGGTGTAGCTCACTGGAATAGAGTGGTGGTTGCTTCCTGGCACATGCAGAACCCAGGATTTGATACCCACCACCACACGCAAATACACACGGATAGAATCATATTCTGTGTACTGTCTCCCAGTGTGGATACTCTGGCTTGGTCTCTGAGGGTTCATAAAGCCCTGGTTAGCATTTGCTGTTTCTCCTAGTCACATGCTAGCAAGGCAGTCTCTGCTTAGAGTCTAAGCTGAGCAGTGTTTTGGGGGTCTGACCATAGTGAGGGGTGCTTACTGTTTCTGTCCGCTGTGTTATCCTTACACAACGCAGCCCTACTACATACTAAGACTGCTGGGCACAGGTGACATGATGAGACAAGATCATTAGTGCAGACATGAGGAATGGGTTCCCATTTATGTTCTCCAGGCTCTGATTTCTGCCCCTTCGTGGCTATTTCAGCCATGGCCATACCATTTGAAAAATTTCTTCATTTTTGGTTAAATGGTGTCAATTTCCTGGAAACCGCAGTAGTTATCATCAGAGAGATAAGGTCATTAGTCTTCCTAGATTCTTGCCACACACCCCTAGAGCTAGACTGGCCATACAGAATATTTCTTAATCACCTAACATTTTTGACTGCTTACTTGGTAGTCCTAGCAAAGGCCAACCTGAGAGCCAAGAAAGGAAACCTCTCAACACTCCCCTGCCACCCTTCCCACTTGCATTCTGCCCTGTAACAACCCCAGCTTGTAAACCGATGACAGACGCTAACCCTTACAGGAACCCCTCTGCAGGTCTTCCAAGTCTGAAGTTGCTCATGGCCTTCCGTGCCTGTTTTCCCTTCTCACTCACCTTTTAGCTGTCACTCAGGAATTTCAACTTTAACCAGAGCTACCGGCATTTCTGTTTCTGAGCTCTACAAATGAGATGGCTGAATGGCCAATGAACTGTGCCTTAGGTCCTATTTGTGGCAGAGCCAGGAATCCTTTGATCAATGTTTTGTCTCTGCTAGCACAGTGTACCATTGATGAACCAGCCCGCCTTCACCGTAGGCTTAAAAGCCATCGTAAAGACAAACTAGGCTCACTCCTGTTTATGATTAAACCTCTGTGTCTCAAAGATTGGGCTAGACCCCACCTATGTAACCTTGACTACAGAACTAATGGTTCTGTACAGCCTGATCCAGGAAATGGCAACCATGTCTTTATTTCAGAAAGTATAATAACCATCTTGCAAACCTGCCTTTGCTTCAAAAGGTTATTTTAACCACCTATGACTACCTTGTTATGACTACCTGTTGTTATGACTACTTTGTTATGCCCAACTCACAACCTTGTCTCTGTTTCAGGAGGTCATTATGATTCACTTATGGTGCTTATGTTCCTCTCCTGTAATCCTGTTTATTTTACCTGCATGCCCCCCAAACCCCCTACCCCTAAGCTCTATATAAACCTTATCTTCCTCATGTCTAATACTGACCTCTCGACCCCCAACTTAGAGGAATACAGCCCGTATACATGAATAAAAAAGCTTGCTTTAATTAACTTGGCCATGACGATTTGATTTGGTGGTCTTTCTCCTCCCATCTTTGGGATTAGCAACTTTCAAAACAGTCTCTTCAGAGATAGAGTCCAGTGCGTGCGCGCGCACACACACACACACACACACACACACACACACACACAAATTACACCAGCCCACACTTTTGCTAAACTTTAGTTGTGAATTAAACTGAGAGATGTAGACAGGCACGTGTGTTGCTAGCAACAGAGTTGTGCTTTCTGCTTACTGTGACAATTGAATGAAGATTCATTTGCTGCCCTCAACAAGTATGTTATAATGCTATCTGATAATTGAATTTGCTTCAATTTTCCTACAAGATTACAACCCCTCTGAAAGCAAGAATGCTGTCATGTGTATTCAGTTTTTAACCCATGACTATTCATTTCTGTTCCTCTTCCCCCCTCCCCCTTAAAACAAGAGAAATGATTTTTGTTCTAGTTTTTTAAAGTAGATATTTTATTAATTACCCAAGACTTTCATGCACTGCCTGGTTAGCTTTTTGTCAAGTGGACACAAACTACAGTCACTGGGGGAGCGGGACTCTCAATTGAGGAAGAGCCTCCATCAATCAGACTGATCTGTGTGCAAGTCTATGAAGCATTTCCTTGATTGATGATTGACGTGAGAGGGCCAGCTCAGTGTGGGCAATGCCATGCGTGGGCCGGTAGTTCCGAGCTATATACAAAGGAAGCTGAGCAAGCTCCAGGAGCAAACCAGTAAGTTGCATTCCCCCAGGGTTTCTGCTTCAGCTCCCAATTGGAAGGGCTTCCTCGGCTACCCAGAGTTTGAGGCCAGTCTAGAAACAAAACAACAACAACAACAAAAGACTTATACTTTCTCTTTTATTGATCCACCTTGGATTTTTCAAGATGAAGTTTTTGTACTGAAAATCGTATTTATGAGTTCACTCAAGTGGCTAACTTTTCGGGTACCCTAGGAGACTCCCCCACGCGCATGCGCACTTACGCGCGCCCGGCCCGGGAGCGTGCGAGCCCGGGGGAAGCTGCAGAGGCGGTTGCTCAGACCTGGAGTTGGCGCCATGTCTACCCGGGAGGTGGCGGTGCTGCTGTGGTGGCTGAGCGGCTGCGTCTCGGCAGTGTGGAGGTAGAAAGATGCATCCCGGCCCCCCGGCCTTGAAGACCCCGCTTCTGGTCCCCAGCCCCTCAGCAGATAGCCTGAGCTCCACCTGGGAGTCTTAGAGATGAGCTGCTGTCAGCCCTCAGCAACGCCGGGTCCTGCAGAAGTACCCTCACAGATAGATAGATAGATGGATGGATGGACGGACATAAGACTATTTCTATGAAAGTGTGTGATGTATTTTGAGCATACTCCCTCATACACTTTTTTTTTCTGCTGTGTGTTGAAAGCGCAGCTCTCCCCAAAGTAGAACCAGAGGTGGCCAGAGCATTTTACTTCTGACTTATATTACAGAGTTGAAGCAAAGTGTTTTCCCCCTAAAATATTGTATAAAGGTAAAGAAATTAATTTCCATATAAAGTATTGATTTAGATAGTGAAGATGTTGGGAAGTCCGGAGAGACCCTTAATGAGGGTTTGATTGTTTTGTTGTTCAGTATTCAGTAATCACTACCATAAAAGGGATATCAAAATATTTTTGGATATCAAATGCATCTTAAACCAGAAATTCTTCAAATATGCTATATAAAGATAAGTATTTCCTCCCCCCCCCAAATTAACATTTAACACGACCAACAAGAAATGAAACAATTGAGGTGCCAGGTGGTGGCGGCACACGACTTACCGGGCAAGAGGATCTCTGAGTTCAAGACCAGCCTGGTCTACAGGGCGAGTCCAGGACAGTCAGGGCTACACAGAGAAACCCTGTATCGGAAAAGGAAGGAAGGAAGGAAGGAAGGAAGGAAGGAAGGAAGGAAGGAAGGAAGGAAGGAAGGAAGGAAGGAAGGAGAAAGAAAGAAAAAGAAAGGAAGAGTAATAAGATAATTGTAAAGTTTTCCTTACAATAAGGGAGGTGTTCTCTTTCCCTAAGGGCTATGTCATGTGACCTGTGGGTGTGGCTGTATGACACCCAGAGCGGTACAGTTAGTTAGTCATCCCTGGTCTAACCTCTATTCACGGTGGTGGTGGGGAAACGTATTTTCTCTCAGGGCTACCACAGAATGTCTGAATTGTATCTTAATAATATTCTCCTTCCTTCCTCCTCCCCCTTTCCCCACCACTCCCTCTCCCCATCCCTCATTCTCTCTCCTCTCTTCCTTTTTTCTCTCCCCTTTCCATCCCCCTCTTCTCTTTTTCTCTCCTTCTCTCTTTCTACCCTTACCCTTCCTCTCTCTCTCTCTCTCTCTCTCTCTCTCTCTGTGTGTGTGTGTGTGTGTGTGTGTGCAGGAGGTGAAGCAGAGTGATTTGGGAAAGAGTGCTGGGTAAAATAGGAACGCTATATAAATGTGAGGAAATATGATTTTCATACAAAGTACTGATTTGGAGAATGGAAACTTCGTGCTGCTGTACCTTAGGCACTGCCCACCTTTATTTAATTTGATTAACTACTTATTTAGAGACAGGGTCTCACTGTGTAGTCCTAGATGGCGTGGAAATCACTGTGTAAACCAGGCTGGTCTCAAACTCACTGAGCTCCATCTGTCCCTGCCTCCAAAGGCCCAGGATTAAAAACAAGTGCCACCATGCGCAGCCATTGTCTACTTTTACTTTGAGACAGGTTTTCTCACTGGCCTGGGACTCACCCAGTTGGTTAGGCTGGCTATCCAGTGACCTCTAATGTGTAACCGCTAGTGTGTTTATATGTGCCAGCATGTGCCAGCATGCCTGGATTTTGATTGCTGAAATTAAACTCAGATACTCTGGCTTACAAGGTGAGTACTTTACTAGCCGAGCTATTTACCCAGCCCTGGCATTCTTTTTTGTTCTGGTTTGGTTTGGTTTTTGAGACAGGGCTTCTCTGTGTAGCCTTGGCTGTCCTGGACTCACTTTGTAGACCAGGCTGGCCTTGAACTCACAGAGATCCACCTGCCTCTGCCTCTGCCTCCCTGAGTGCTGGGATTACAGGCGTGTTCCATGGAGCCCAGCTCCTAATATTCTTTTAAAGGATAAAACTTTTGGTCTAGCGGTATAGCTTAATGCTAAACATGCATGAGGCCCTAGGTTCAAAAGGCATTGGAAAAAAAAGATAAATTATTAATTTTCCAAAATGAATTTTAAACTGTTTTATTGCTAGCTATTTTGGCAGGTGTGTTATATGAAAAAAATTCTTCCTGCCCAAATTCTTTCTTCCACTAACACTTTATTTTTATTATTTTTGTTAAATAAAATTCATAGAAAGCTTTTGTTTTGGAGTAGCCTCCAGCACTGGGCCAAACAGAATGACAAACCCTAGCAGTTACTGAGCTAAAGAATTGGGGAAGAGGGGAAGAATGAGAGAAAGAGAGGGAGAAGCAATCAAATTCCAATTTCAGTCAGTACCATAAGGGCCTTCCCTCTGCTTTTGACCTTAGAAAAAGTACCCGGAAGAAACGTGGTGTTGACTGGTCTGCCGTATTCCATCTGTATCCCTTTTCCTGATTCAGAGCTTTCAAATAACCAATCCACATTTTATTCTCAGTCCTCCCCTCCCGCACGCCTGTGACGGCAACCCGCGCTACTCAGCTCATCAGAACATCTGTGCTAATTTATGGAATGAGCGTTGCCTAATTCTGGCCTTGCGAATAAAACTGATCAAGATGTCCCAGTTGCTATAATTTTGTCTTTTGATGAGTTCTTAATACCAGTGGAGATGGGTATTCCCTAAGTAATACTAGGGATTCAGGGTTGTTGTTGTCGTTTCCTTCATGTAATCTAGATTTCTTTTGAAAACTTTTTTGAGTTTTATATATTTTTACATGGGTGTTCTGCTTGAACGTATGTCTATGTACCATATGTGCTCAGTAACCCAAAAGTGTGTGCTGGATATCCTTTGAACTGGAGTTACAGACACGTGTGAGCCACCACGTGGGTGCTGAGAACCGCATCCCTTTCCTCTAGAAGAGCAGTCAGAAGAGCCCTTGACCCCTGAGCCATCTCTCCAGTCCCTAGACACATTTTTAAACCAGCACTACTTAGTAAATAGTTCCTATTTTTCTCAGTTAGTTGGCTGTAGAATGTCTGTCTCATACAGATCTTCTGTGTGGACTCGGGTCTGTTTCTGGGCTTAATGTCCTGTTCTGCTCCACTGGCAAGTGTGCCCGGTGCCACACCAGTCCTATATCCTCGCGCTGTGACGTCATACGCCAAGAGTGCTCCAGGAAGGTCCTCCGTTCTATGCCAGAAGTCTTAGTCACCCTAGGACCTGTACACACTCACACAAATTTGAAAATAGGTTATTAAGTATTACATATACATTCTTTTGGGATTTTTTTTTTTATTGGAATTGCAGTGATTCAAAATGACGTCTTTTAGGAATGTTAAAATTTCCTATTAAACGAGCACCCTGTATCCATTTATATTCTCTGCAGAAATGGATTCTGTGTTTTCTCCTGTCCTCTGTATTCATTACTCTTCTTGCTGCTGGGACATAAAGCCTGACAAGAGCAACTTAAAGGAATAAGAGTTTATTTTCTCACAGTATGAGGGTTCAGTCCGTCATGGGAGGAAGTGAAGTGGAAATTTTTGGTTTCTTTGAAGACTGAGTTTTGTCAGGTGATGTTTTGCTGGCATGTGATGCTTTGCCCAGGTTGGTTTGTGAGAGGGCACACGATGTTTTGCTGTGATCCCTCATGTACAAGGGGCATGACTTTGGCCAGCTGCAAACATCCATGGGTGGACTTTGAGGAGCGGACGTATGGAGAGGCCAACTGCAGAGTGAGACATCACTCTTTGGATCCACATTGCTGCGCTGATCTTCATGCTTCGACACTTATATTTGAAGTAGGGCTTACTACCTGAATTAACCTAGTCTAGAACCACACACACAGAAGTTTGTCTTCTAGGTGAGTCTAGATTTGGTCAAGTTGAGGATTTGAAACACCACAAACACCTCTATTTTACATTCAGGATTGAACCCAGGACCACATGCTAAGCATATTCTCTGCAGCTGAGCTCTGCTCCCAGCCTTCTTCTCAATCCTATGATTTTATCTTTTTTTTTTTAATTGAATGTTCTAGTTGCTCTAAGTAGCATTTGTCTTTCCTGTTTTCCCCTTGAGCAGCTGTCTGCACTGAGGATAAGATAGATGTGCTATCACTAGGTAGACGGCCTCTTGCATTTGTTGGTATAATGTTCTTGTGGAATGTATACAATTTACTCTTGTTGATTCAAATGCTGATTTCTCTACCCCACTATCTGGTCTCAATCCGGACATTGCATTGTGATGTTTATTCTAAGCATCACCTGTCTCAAGTTTGTGTAAACATGTCACCATTTCTTCTCTGTATTGTCAATAAAACAACCAGCCAATGCTGAGCAATGGAGAGAATAGGGTGGGACATATGGGACATACTGGTCTGGAAGGGAGGAGAAAGAAGCGAGTGGGAGGGTTGGAGAGGAGAGATCAGCAAGAGAGGACTTGGAACCATGAATATGACTAAAAGCAAGTATAATGTGAGAAATCTGAATGGGAGGAAACTATGTGGGCTTGGAGATTTAGGATGGAGTAACTATTGCCCAGCATTGAGCTCTAGGTTAATTAAATCCTAGTCTCTGTGTGATGGTTTGGGTATACAGCTGGTTTAGGAATAACTGCTGTTTAACTAAAAGATAAATCAATAATAAATATTAATAATCAACAACATGCATTAAAGACACTTAAATTATAAACTCACATGAAAGTTTGTCATTTTCTCCCATGTCTTGAAGCAGTTATATGAGTTTATCCTGTAGACTTAGATTTTTTTCAACAAACCTACTTTCTTTAGGGTTTTTAAACGCTTCTACCTCCCTTCCACCCATTGACCAGATGTAGGGGGAAAAGAAGGTTATTAGGAAAAGGGGGTTGTTGAGCTTTTTAGAAGTAGTTCCTAGGGGCGAGTCCACTCTTCATTGTCCAGATACCAGCAGTCTAGTCCAAATGCTAACACCAAACAGCAACACAAATCAGCAGGACTCAGCAGAAACAGTAAGACTTCACTGAATCAGAATGAGTCAGTGAAAGCCACAAAACTCATGGAACGTTTCTCTTTGCAAAGTCAAATGTCAAAGAACAAAGACCAGTGATGTCAATCCAAATATTCATTCTCTCACTGTTGGTGGGCTTCTATATGTCTTCCTGCCTCAGAGTCCACCCCCGGAATTTTTTTAGCTGCCCCTCACATGAGACAGCTCGCAGCAAAACATCACATGCCCTCTCACAAGACGGCTTCTAGGAAAAGACCACATGATACATCTGTGTCCTCAGAGAAAGCAGAAAATTCCACTTCATTACTCTCTTTAATATTTGTGGTGTGTTTCCTCTTTAGGCATCCCTAAATAAATGAAGTTACTTACTTGGCATAAATCCAGCTTGTCATGGTTTTTCCGTATCCCTGCCTCGTTGAATTCAATCTGCAAATGTTTACTTTAGAATATTTGTATCTATATAGTTGGTCTTTGGGTTTTGTTCTGTTTGGCTTGGTTTTTAAAAGAGACATTTATTTTTATTATTATGTTTTTGTTGCATATTTGTAGGGACATGTGTGTATGTGAGCATAGGGCCCACAAAGGTTAGAGGTGTCAGATCCCCTGGAGCTGGAATTAGAGGCAGGTTTTGTTTTGTTTCGTGTTTGTTTAGTTGGTTGTTGTTTTTTTTTTTTCCAGACAGTTTCTCCTTGTAGCCCTGGCTGTCCTGGAACTCACTCTATAGACCAGGCTGGCCTGGAACTCACAGAGATCTGCCTGCCTCTGCTTCCTGAGTGCTGGAATTAAAGGGATGTGCCACCATCACCTAGGCAGTTTTTACATGCCCCCTACGAGTACTGGGAAATGAACTCGTTCTCTGCAAAAGCAATATATTCCTTTAGCCACTGAGCCATCTCTCCCACCTCCTCTTACTTTTCTTTCTTACCTCCTCCTTTTCCTCTTCCTCCTCCTCCTTCTTCTTTCTTTTGACAAGGTCTCACTATGTAGCCCTGGCTGTTCTAGAACTTGCTATGTGTACCAGGATATGGCCTCACACTCACAGAAATATGCCTGTGTCTGTCTCTCAAGGGCTGGGATGAAAGACAAGCACCAACATGCTCAGTGTACTTTGCCTTTGTTTTTAGTGCAACACTAAACTTATGATTTTCCAGTTCTTTGAAAGTGTTTGCCTAAGATTGGGATAATTTGAAAGCTTTAATAACACTTTCATACCTCTCACCCCAGTGTTTCAGATGAGATTTTGAACAACTACTTTATATCTTCTGGTAGTATTTAGGCTTTTTGTTTCTTCTTGAGTCAGTTTTGGTAAGATGTAGTTTTTGAAATCTATTATATAATTGAGAATATGTATGTACATATATATATATATATATATATATATATACACACACATATATACACATTTGTACACACACACACACACACACACACACACATATATGATCTTACTCTATAGTGCATGCTGGCCTCAAACTTATGATGTAGTTCAGGCTGGCCTCCATCATGATGGTCTTCCTGCCTAACCCCCTAAATGCTGAGATTATAGACACATGCCACCAATCAGTTCTTTCCTTCTACTTTGTATTGCTGTTTGAGGCAGGATCTTGTTATTTGCATCTCTGTGTTGTGTACTAGGGCTTTCTGGCTGATTCCATCTCTCCCTCCTCCCTTACATAAGACTGTGGGCTCACATAAGACTAGAGCTCCTGCACCTGACTTTTCACATGGATTCCACAGATCAAACTTGGGTTTTTCAGGATTGCACAGCAAGCATTTTCACCTGCCTAGCTACTGTGGTGGTTTGAAAAGAAAATGGCCCCCATGCACTCACGGGGATTGGCACTATTAGAAGGTATGGCTTTGCTGGAGTAGGTGTAGCATGTTTGGAGGAAGTATGTCACTGGGGGTGGGCTTTGACACTTTAAAAAGCCCAAGCCAGGTCCAGTGGCTCTTTGTCTTCCTGCTGCCTGTAGATCTAGATGTAGAACATTCAGCTACCTCTCCAGCACCATGTCTGAATGTGTACTGTAATGCTTTCCTCCATGATGAAAATGGACTAAACTTCTGAACTGTAAGCCAGCCCCAATTAAACATTTTTCATTACAAGAGTTGCCATGGCCATGGTGTCTCTTCATGGCAATAATTAAGACAGCCATTCACTGGCCCAGTGACTCTCTCTAATGTCTGCTTTATCCCTAATTATGACACCTTTTGGTTAGTATCATTTGTTTTCTTTTCAAAATCTCGATCAGCCTTATCATAAGCTTTCTTGCCCCAATCATTTTCATACCTCTTTTTTATTTTATAGATTTTTTTTTGTTTGTTTGTAGTTTTAAAAATCCCTTCTGTGTTGGTGGGCTTATTCTGGCATTCATTCTCTCCAGCTCAGTCACATTCTCTCCCGTTTTCTCTGTTCTTGAAACTGGGTTTCACTGAAGAGCACAGGCTGATCCTCCTTGCCCCAGTCTCCTGAGCACTAACTAGAGGTGTACACCACCACACTCAGCTCTAAGGGCCTGAGACATTTACTGATAGTTTGACGTCCTTGTCTTTTCTCATAGGATTCTATAGCGTATTTATTTCTCTCATAGTACCATTCAGTCACAGCTTATAAGAAGTGATGTGAAATCATTTCATCATTTATTTCAAGGTACTTTTAACTCATGTTATTCTCTATAACCCTTGAATTGTTTGTCAGTGAGTTGGTGGGGTGGGGGGCATTGTTCTGATTTCTGAGGCAAGGTCTCACTCTTCAGCCCAGACTGGGCTTGAACTCCTGACCCTCCAGCCTCCGCTTCACAGGCGTATGTTAGCATGTCCAGCTCCAGCAGTTTGTTTTAAAATTCCAAATATATTACGATATTACTTCCCCCATAATTTTTTTTTTTTGAAACAGGGTCTCTAGAGAGCCTTGGCTACCCTACAACTCACTGTGTAGACCAGGCTGGCCTCAAACTCACAGAGATCTGCCCGACCCTGCCCCCAGATGGTTGGGATTAACAGCATGTGCCACCATGCCTGGCTTTGACGTAACTTCTTAGAGAGGCATCATAGCCACAAACTGTGTCCACATGGTGTTTCTCCTCGGAAGTCTGTCGGTGCTTGCCCTGAGGCCAACTAAGGGGTGAATTAATTGTCCAGCAGGTGTGTGGAGTCAAGCCTGTAATGAGTGGAATGACTTTGAATCCCCAAAATGCTTTCTCAATATTTTGTCAATTTATACATAAATAGGTACAGAGCTTGAGAGAAAATAGTTCCCCCAAATGGCATAATCCATATATTGTAGAAAAAAGGGGGGTGGGGAGAAATGAAACCAGGAAGGGAGTTATCTATTAAGAGATGAAGGAATGTTAAGTGTTAGGGACAATTAAAGCTCTTTAGTTTTTTTAGCTGGGGCCAAGGCCAGAAGTCAAAGCCAGGGCCATAATCCATCTGTGTACCCCCCCACCCACAAGTCCTCTCAGATCTATTTCCAACACTGACACATTAAACAGTTGACAGGAAGAAGGAGCAAGGAGGAGAGGGCATTAGGGTTATTATCATAGTGGTCTGGGTTAGTAAGTTACCTGGAACTTTTACAGTATCCCTCGCTCGCATTCCCTCATGTCAGCCCTGGGGTGAGGTGAAACTGAGGAAGGAGCAGGCAACCAACCAACTGCCAGGAAAGGGAGCCTCATCGTTTAGCCTCCGGAGCATTCACAAACTCAGTTGTGTACTTTAACTCTGTCAGTTAAAATGCCAAAACTACCACTTGTTTTTTTTTTCCTCTCTCCTGACTCTTCTCAATATAATGAAAAGTATCTTATATTAAATCCATAAGAAGTGAGAGATGGTTCACATTTGCTGGGGGGTTAAAAAAAAAAATCCTGCAGTGAAAATCTACTTCATTTTAATTTACAGTGCTACATAAAAGCATGCATTTTCTTTTTTGAGCTGTGTATGTCCATATAAAAGGTGCAAGTTTCTACTGATGGTAAATATCAGTTGAAATAAGAATTCAGAGCACTATTAAGGCTTGTGTAATTTTGACAAAAGAATTGCATAATGGCATCATAGCAACTTCCCCTTACACACAGGAAAAAGGTTTCTGACTTAAAATTTTAGGTGTGAACCATTCCAATGGCAATTAAATATGCAGGGTAGACATGGAAAATTTATCAAAGTGAAAGGAAGGCAGAGGAATTTTAAGATGTTTTCTGAGCATCTCTAACTACATGTGATTTCAAACTGAGATGGATTTTAAATGTAGAGCACCCATCAGATTTCAAGGAATTAGCAAAATCATTATTTTACAGTGATCACGTTTTGGGTTGAATATATCATAAGAATGAATTTTGTTTGGCCTTGTACTTTGTGATTACTTGACAAGGTTTAATTAATCACATGTACACAGAGGCTCACGTTAAATGCCCCCTTAGACAGGTGACTTATGTTGAATTTAAGGGACCCTGGATAATGAAGAGTACAAACATGATCATGATCCAAGGACTTAGAAGTTTCATTTCTAGTATTCTAAGATGGAAACTACTGGTTTTTGAAACTCCAGTCTTTGGTTTTCTAAATTTTCCCTGAGTTTACTAAGTGAAGCAGTCAAACCTAATATGTTCAGTGGTATCTGTTCTATAAAACACATGTGATGAGTATTTACTTCCAGCCAGCTATGGCAGCGGGCTCCTGAAAGCCCAGCCCTCAGGGGAGTGAGGCAGTTGGTTCCCTATGAATTTGAGGCTATCCTGGGCTACACAGTGACTTCCAGAATAAGGAGGAGGACTTAACTTCTCGTGATATTGTAATGCCTCCTGACCTGAACGAGCCCTAAGAAGCCAGACTGGTGGGTAGTGGTCATTACCTTACTTTTAGTTCTAGGTTCCTTTTCCAGGGAGGGTAGAGCTCTTGGAAGCCTGAGTATGTCCTGACCATGTGTAGGATCTCTCATAGGTAGAGGAGAAATTACTGTTAATATTCACACCCTGCCTTTTCCTTCACAGGTATTACATCAATGGCACAGACTATTCCATTTTCAGCACCAGGACTGCTGTAAGTATTGAATTAAAAAAAAATGAGTATTTTTCATTTTTGAACCTTCAAAGAGTTAGTCATCCCCTGTCTGTATCTCCCTTTTCTTCTCATCGTCACCCTGCTGTTGGTACCCTCTCTGAGACGCGCCCTTCAGTATGTCTGTAGTATCACAGCTCACATGGATCTGGAAGGCTGATGCCAGGTGGGGAGGTAATGAAGGAAGGACAGACACATACGGTGAAGCTGGGGATCGGGTGGGCTGTGCACTGTAACGGAGCTTCACCTACTAATGCAGCAACCTGGGGCCTGCGCTGTGTAAGGCTCAGCACAGGTGAAGAAGGGGTCGCTCATTCTGGGCGGGTGTCTGAAGGTGACCAGCCCCTGGCTGTGAACACGAAAGGTGGAAGCTGCAGTTGCTAGGCTTTGCACACACTGAAGTGATTGTCTGGGAGCACACACTTGGTCCAGAGGAAGAAGGCTTTGCCAGCTTTGGGCTTCACCCATGTGGGGAAAGGCTTTTGACAAGTTTCTGCTCTTCAGAAGCTCTGGTCCTTGTCATGGCTGTGCCCATGTCCACAATACACACACAGGACTTCATGCACTCAGGGCTTCGTCTGCTCCCTACAAGATAGGGGAGAAAAACGCAGTGCTAATTTATCTGTTCTTGTGATTTAATAGTCACCAAAAGGTGTTATGATATATAAATGTGTTCTATATAATATATTGGCTAAATATTGAGAAAGAAAACAGTAACTGCTCTTCAGTGGCTGTAAATTTACAGCAGATGTGAACCAGAACTATAAGCGTAGGGTCCTCCCAGGTATAAGCCTCAGCCTCTGTACTACTTTGAAAAATATTTAACAGCAGCCTGGTGTGGTGGCTCATGTCCATAATCCCAACACTCAGGGAGGCAGAGGCATGCGGATGGCTGTGAGGTTGAAGCCAGGCTGGTCTACAAAGGGAGTCTAGGACAGCCAAGGCTACAGAGAGAACCCCTGTCTTGAAAATAAATAAATAAAATATTTAACACCCTATCTAGTTTAAATTCACTCTTTTTAAAAAAGAATTTTGTGTATTAGCACTTAGCCTGCGTATGTGTGTGTGTGTGTGCCACCGTGTTCAGTGGCCTTCGTGGCCAAAGAGAACTCTGAAATCCTGGACGATGGAGTCACAGGCAGTTAGTTTTGAGCTGTCATGAATTTGTTGGGAACCGAACCTGGGTCCTCTGCAAGAGCAGCAAGGGCAGTTAATGGCTGAGCCTTCTCTCTAGCCCCGTAGCTCGTCTCTCAATGCGGCCCACTTACAATGAGAATGTATTCATTCAAATGTATTTCTGTATCCTCCTTGTGATGGACATATGGCTTCCTACTACCACAGACAACTTCTTCTCTAATTCTCTATGGATCTCTGCAGGTTTTTTGTTTGTTTGTGAAGGTTTTGTTGTCTCTGTCTCTGTCTCTCTCTCTCTGTGTGTGTGTGTGTGTGTGTGTGTGTGTGGCCAAGAGTGGAGTCAATGGATACAGACACTATACAAGACAGTTTACAAAAAAATGGCAATTAAAACTTATACTCTCACTTAGTCTAGATCTTTGCCAAAAAGTGAGTATTATTAGACATTTTTTTTTTTTACCAAATCTATTACTATAAAAAAAATGAATTTGCTGCGAGTGACACATGCCTTTCATCCCAGCACTCAGGAGGCAGAGGCAGGCGAATCTCTGAGATTTCAAGGCCAGCCTGGTCTACAAGAGTGAGTTCCAGGACACCTGGGGCTACACAAAAAAAAAAAAACAACCCTCTCTCAAAAAACAAAACAACAACCCCTCCCCCCAAAAAATAAAAAAGAAATGAAATGAAATATGAGCATCATTACCATTGTTTTCAGTTCTCTGCTGAGCAGTAGTTTTTGAGCTCTGCTTTACCTACTGCCCGTTTCCATTTGAGCTTTCTGCCTTCTTGATGACCTATCCCACCACAGAGACGCTTGCTGTTTACTGCTGGTATGGTCACAATAGCAGGTAAATGGAACCAGCCTAGATGTCTGTGGTAGTCCCTTTTCTGTTGCTGTGGTAGAACACCATGACCAAGGCAACTTGCAGAAGGAAGAGTTTGTTGGGGTCTATGGTTTCAGAAGAATAGAAGTCCACCACCATCATGGTGGGGACTCATGACAGCAAGCACTGGGCATGGTAGCTGGAGTAACTGAGAGCTCACATCTTGAACCACACACAGGAAAGAGAGGGAGCTCAAAATGACAGTCTTTTGAAACCGCAAAGCTTGTTCCCCAGAGACTCCAGAGAACTCCAGCAAGGCCACACCTCCTAAGCCTCCCCAGACAGCTACCAACCAGGCACCAAGTATGCAAATTTCCAGTCTATGGGGGTATTTGTTATTATAATATGGGGGCGGGACAGTCGGGAATCGCATGCCATAGCACTCCTGTGAAAGTCAGGGAACTACTTTATGTGGGTTGTGGGGTCAGACAAGTGATGTCACGCTTATGGACAGGCACCCTTTACCGTGTGAGCCACCTTGATAGGCCGGTTCTAAACAACAGAACAAAACAAAACCATGAAATTATCTTTTCCTATCATGAACTTTGGAAGACTAGTTAAACACAACTCTCCTGGCTGCGTTAGTTTTAGAAAGTATTCGGAAATCAGAGTCCCTTCCACGCCGGGCCTCCAGCCGTGGACCCTCCTTCCTCGGCCTGTGTTCGTTCCTCTTCCTCCCCGATTGCATTTCTCTTCCCAGCATTTCTGTGCAGTCTCTGGCTGGCTGGTTTCGAAATTTGTACATTCTCCATGCTGCTCCCACAAGGGTGGAGGACTCAGGGGTGGCTCATCCCAACCTGCGTAGAGCATGGGGGTGCAGGATGCTTTGTCTCTTTGAGTTTAATCCCTGACGTTCAGTGAGGTTCCTTGTTGCCCTTTGGGTTTGGGTCTTTTTTTTGTTCTTCCCAGACGTTCTGTCTTGTTCTGTTTTGAATGAAAGTTGATATAAAAACGTGCACCACCGTCCCTACCTGATTGCACTGGTAACTTGCTATTACTGTGACAAAATACCTTGCAAGATGCAGCTTAAGGAAGAAAAGGAGGCATGGGACAGTGAGAGGTTGGCTGCTGGCATCTACAGCATAACCAGACTCTCAGCTACTTCCTTGAGTTCTTTTTCCTGCTACCCTTTTCCATCCCAGTCCCTTCCCAACCCTCCAACGTGAGGTAGGAGAGAAAGAAAGACTTCAGCAGCGGGGGAGCAGCAGCCAATGCTTCTCTTGGGGCTCTGGTATTTTTATACCCTCTAAAGAGTTCCCCAGAATTCCAAACGTAAACTATCTTCAGCTGGCAGAATCACACCCCCCCTCCTAGAGCATGAGACAAATCATAGTCAGCTGCTGTGGCCAATCTGAAGCAGCCCCGTATTCCCACACCTGGGACTTAAAAGCAACAACAGCAAAACAATATTCACATAATATTTCTGTGTTCTTAAAGAAACCAAAATTCTCACTACACTAGAGCCTGGAAGTAGAGAGTGCACAGGAAGTGAGGCCCAGTATAACAAACAGCTCAAGGCCCACTTTCAGTGACCCAGTTCCCCAGGGAGGCCTTCTCAAATGGCACCACCAGGTGGGGCCCAAGTGTTCAAACACATGAGCCCAATGGGGAATCATTCACTTTCAAACCATAGCGTGAGTATATTAGAGTTCTCTAAAGGGTCCATTAGATTTATTAGACTGGCTTACCAGCTATGGTCTGAGACGAGAAACGATGCCTGTCTCCTGGTGGGAAGACCAAAAACCCGGAAGTTGTTCAGTCCAAGAGCCTGCCCATCTCGGCACTCACGCTCCAGCGTTGGAGACCCAGGGAAGTCCTAAAGAGCTTCAGGTCTCTTGTCCACATTGGAATCCTGAAGAAGTAGCTTCTAACACCAAGCAAACGAATGTCTCAGGAATGGGACAGATGAACTTGCAGGACAGAGTGAGGGCAAACAGGCAAAAAGCAAAAGCTTCCTTCTTCCTGTTTCGTTTATGTGGGCTGCCACCAGAAAGTCTGGTTAAGATTTAGAGCAGATCTTTTTGCCTCAAATGATCCAATCAAGAAAATCCCTGACAGGTGTACCCAGCTGCTTAAGTTTTAGTTGATTCTAGGTGCAGTTAAGTTGCTAACTAAGATCAGCTATCACAACAGACACTTATAAGCATCATTTTTTCCCTATAAATAAATGGTTATTTTCTTTCTACAAATTCCTTTTTTTTCTCTTTTCAAAAAAATTTCCTTTCTTCTGAGTGATGTTCCCTGCTGTTCTTTTATTCTCATAGTGATAACTGAGTTTGTCATCAAGCATATTTCTCTTATATACATATAAGGCTATAAATACCCTTTTAGCCATTACTTAAATGGTATATGGTAATTTTTTATAATATCAAATGCTATCACTTGATTTTTTTTTTTTGCAAATATTATGTGATTTACATTATGATTGTATTCAAAGAATCATTCAGAAGTCCGCTTGGATTTGTTTTTGCTTTAAGATTACAGACACTCTAAAATTGTTTTCAGCCAAGCTTTCGAGGACTTTTAACTTTATATTGCTGATATTGAAAGGAATAGTATTATACTGGCTGATTTTGTGTCTACTTGACATAAGGTGGGTTCATCAGAGAGGAAGAAGCCCCAGTTGAAGAAATACCTCCGTGAGATCCAGCTGTAAGCCATTTTCTCAATTAGTGATCCCTGGGGGAGGGCCCAGTCCATGGTGGGTGGTGCCATCTCTGGAATGGTGGTCCTGAGTTCAATAAGAAGGCAGGCTGAGCCAGCCATGGGAAGCGCCCCTCTGTGGCCTCTGCATCAGCCCCTGACTCCAGTTACCTGCCCTGTTTGAGTTTCCCAATTGGCGACAGCAATGTGGAAGAGTAAGCTGAATAAACCCTTGCTTTCCCAACTTGCCTTTTGATCATGGTGTTTTATTGCAGCAATAGAGACCCCAACTAAGATAAGTATGTATTATAATATTAATTCACTGAGGCTGATTAGGACTTTCTTTATAAGTGTGGTCAATTTTGGTAAACAACCTATGTGAGAGCAAAAAGAATGTATATGTTTTCTATTGGTTAATTTTAGGAATATATATATATCTTATTCTATTTGGCTGGTATTATATATTCTACCCGGAGATACTGAGTTGCACTCCTAGCTTTCTCTCTCTCTCTCTCTCTCTCTCTCTCTCTCTCTCTCTGTGTGTGTGTGTGTGTGTGTGTGTGTGTGTGTGTGTGCGAGCGCGTGCGCCAGTACTGGAGAGCAGAAGAGGAAGTAGAAAGTAGGAGCCAATGAAATGGAGTTACAGGCACTTATGAGCCTGATGTGTGTGCTGGTAACTAAAGCCCTGTCCTCTGATGGAGGAGCCATCTCTTTTCAGCCTCAAGGGTATCAGTTGCTGGTGTGTCACAGATTTTCCTTAGACATTCTTCTTTGAACAGTATTAAAGGAACTAAATTTTAGGATTTTTTTTTAAAGTAGTACAAGCCAGATAATTGAATCCACAACTGAACACTGAGATGAACACGGTTTTGTTGTTGTTCTAACATGAACTTTTATCACATTTCTTAGATTGAGCTAGAGTATGAAGGAAGCACATTTATATCATGGGATATACCGAACGTTTGTACAGCTGAAGACACAAAGTAAGCTTTTTGTTGTTGTTTGTTTGTTTTTGTGTGAGTTTTTTTTTTTGCCATATATGTATATACACACATCCATTTGTTTCTACATGTAAAAATGACATTCATTCACATAATAATCTGGATGTTCAGACTTCAAAGCTCTGACTTCATGTAAATTTCCTTCCACTAAACACACATAAAAAGAAAGGCTAGATTGCTTTGAAAAGAGAGATAAAATGTACTGTGGTGGTTTGAGTGAGAATACTCCCAACCCCTAGTCCCCTTACCCCACTCTCCGATAGGCTATACATTTGCATGCTTCTTCCCCCAGTTGAACTGTTTGGAAGGATTTAGGATTTAGGTGTGGCCTTATTGGAGTAGGCGTGGCCTTGCTGGAAGAGGTGTGTCCCTTGGGGTAGGATTTCAAGTTTCAAAAGCCCACGCCTGGCCCAGTGTCTCTCTCTGCCTGCTGCCTGGGGATCAGGATGGAAGGCTCTCAGCTACTGCTCCGTGTCTGTCTGCCGCCCACCATGACGATAACAGACTAAACCTTTGAACCTGTAGGCAAACTTTCTTGTGTAACAGTTGTCTCGGCCATAGTGTCTCTTTACAGCAATAAGACAGTGGCTGAAACAGCTGCTATTTTAGAGGGTTTTTTTTTATTTGTTTTGCCTTTACATTCTACCATACAATTGAATTGCTTAAGCTTAAAAGTGGTGGGTGGATTTTTAATCAGCTTTATATGCATTTGTAATTACTTCCTCTTCTTTGTTCTATTTCAACACTAGATCATCCAGGACAAAACTACACTGTTCTTCTTCTGGAATTCACAGAATAAAACCAAATGTCAAAAGCCCAGTAAGCTGATTTTTTTATGTTTTTTTATGTTTTATTGAATCTAGAAAAAAATAATCACTGCTGCATTCCCATTTGGCCTTCCGAACACAAAATTGCTTTAAATGCTTTTAGTCATAAATATCAGTAAGAGCTATTTCAAAATTACTGTCAGGCTTTTCATGTCAGAGTACACATTGTGAAATGATACGTTATTTTTACTTCAGTTTCCCTTTTTTATTTGCTCATTCATTCGCTCGTGGTGCTGGGGACTGGACCCAAGGCCTTGTACATGGTTCAGCTAATGCTGCAACCTCTGCTATTCAGCCCCTTCATCATTAGTATGCTAGAGTCTGTGTGTTAACGGTACTGTTGGAAGAATGGGTCTCATGTCACAGATCGCAATGGCAATACCTACCCAGAACCAAAAGCCAATTGAAGTTTGGTTTTGGTTTGTGTTTTTTGTTTTTTGTTTTTAATTCCACCCCCATTTCTTCAACTCAAGAAAACACGTGTGACTGCAGATAAATGAGAGTAACGCTGAATCTGTGGGTTAGCAAAAAGAGATAGTTATAACATCCAAGATCATCCCTGCACGTTGCCGACTACACCCTGCCCCCTAGGCAGTTGGCTCATACACCTGCGGGTCCACAAGGGAGAAAGTAAGACAGACACAGTGAGGACAGCAAGTTGCCAGACCTGCCATGTGTTCTGTAAACATAGGGAAGCCGGGGCGTTGAGTACCTTCTGCATGTAAGTTATTGATTACAGCCTAGAATCTATTTTCCTCTACTCTTAACTAACAGTCCTCTGTGACGTTTTAGGCTTATGCGGCAAATATGTCCACATTTGTATCTCTTTCAAATCTAACATCTTTATTTCTTTTGCATTTTCTTTTAGGACCAGGAAGATACACGCTACCTGCTTGTGCATGACTCCTACATTTGCTTCATGTGGTATTACACAGTCATGTAAGTAACACACAGAGTAAAAGGTAATTAAGGCTTGTAGAGTATTTAGCTCTCACTTTAAAAAAAAATCAATCACAGATGCATTGTCCTCATCACGATTTGTATATAAACCTTTTCTTCACCAACCAGGATATTCTCAAATGCATTGCCAAAGCAGTGTTGAATTAGAAGGTACAAAAATATCAACCACTACAATTTGAGCACTTAGTGCATGGATGTGTCTGTCCGTCTGTCTTTATACAAGGTCTCTCTGTGTAGCCCTGGCTAGCCTGAACTTAGCTCCTACATCACGATAGCCTCCATCCTGTGAGGATCCTCTTACCTCTTCTTCTGGAGAGTTGTGACCACAAAGAGTCCAACAAGGCCCCAGCTTCGTTTTTTATACACATTCTTTCTCTTAGTTTTCATAACGACCATAGGTACGTAAGAATCTTATCTTTATTGAATAGAGCAGGAAGTGTACGTTTGGGTGGGTTGAATATTAGAACCGAAACGCAAGGTGCTGGAAGACACTGGGAGACTCTGAGTTTTCGGGCCACAGGGCCCATCTGTCTCCAAAGACTCTGTCTTGTACCACTCTTCAGCCACTACTTAACACAAAAGTGGATGACTGTAGCTATAAAAGGAAGGAGTGGATTTGGTAATACTTGGTTAATTGTGTGTGAAGTTATTCGATGAATAAAGACAAAAATGCCCAGCAAGTCGGAGCGTGCGTTAGCAGCATGGTGAAGGTGGCGTGCATTTTGTGGATGAATGGCACGTACCCCTTCCTTTTTATTTCTACTTTGCATCTATTTTCTTGGAGGAAGCCTTCCTCCCTCTTCCGTGACAATATCTTCAAGTTCTTCTGACTTACATGGTGACAGTGCTACCACCCGCTTTCACTGGCTGCGTTAACGATTGGCACGTGACCTGGGCAGAAGCAAGTAGAACGCTCACACTTGCCCGTAAAGCACGGTCGTTGCCACCAGCTTCATTATCTTCTTTTCATGATACTTAACACCAACCTCCCCCGAGTCTCTTGAGGAAGCACGGTTTGCGTCGCTGATACTCGCGGAAATGCCAGGCTTCTGTCTTTGTTTTCAATCATTAGCCCCCCCTCCCCCCATTGGTTCTGAAACCACTGAGCAACTGACAAGGGCAAATTCGCAAGTAAAACTCCTGGTAGAGGGGGGTTGGGAAAGAAAAACCTGCCACTGTCACCAAACTGGCTACTTTCTGCTCCTTCTAAAGAAAAGAACTTGGAAGCTTCCAGAGAGGAAAATCTATGTCAGTGATCTGAATGCTTGTGTCCCTACCCAAGCTCATATTGTAGCAGCTGGTGTAGGGCTTTGGGACATGATAAGATCATAAGGGTGGAAACCTTATGAATAGGATTAGTGCCCTTATGGCGGACACTCCCTACCCTATTCACAGAGAAACCACTCTAACCCACGAGCCAGGAAGTGGCCGACTCCCTGATGGTGTGCTTCCCAGCCACAGGAACAATGGGAAATTAATGTCAAAGCCACCTACTTGCTGTTTTCATGATTGCCAGACAAGCCCAGATATCTTCCTAGAAACCCTGAAAGTCACTTACTGGGTTACCGTTCTCACTTATGCACACTGAACTCCAAGAGTTGGGACCAATCAAGACGAGCCCCCAGGCAGCCCTGAGCCAGCTATGTCTTAATTAGTGATGGGGGCGGACCCAGCCCACTGTGGTCATGCCATCCCTGGGCTGGAGGTCCTGGGTGTTCTATAAGAAAGCAGACTGAGAAAGCCATGGGGAGCGAGCCAGTAAGCAGCACCCCTCCATGGCCTCTGCACCAGCTCCTGCCTCGAGGTTTCTTCCATGTTTGATTTGAGTTTCTGTCCTGACCTCCATCAGTGATAAACTGTGAGTGAATACGGAACTGTGGGCGAAGTAAACCCTTTCCACCCCAAGTTGCTTTTGGTCATACCGTTTCGTCACAGCACTAGGAACCCCTAACTAAGACACCAACTAGATGACTGTAACAATTTCTTTTTAGTTTTTCATTTTCAGAAAACTGAATCCCTATGTTTATTTTTTTGTGAACTCCCTCCTTCTCTAAAGATTTTCCTAAATCCATATTTTATAAGCAAGAATCTTTGGTTCTTCACTGTGATGCCGCAAGGCATTTGTTTGCAACTACAGGTGAAGCCATAAAAATTCTAGAGCAGGAGTTCTCAACTTTCCTAATGCAGTATCAGTCACTCTTCGTATTGTATTTTCTGTGAGTATAGACAAATGCATAATGGTGGGTCTCCATCATCCTGGCATCACACACAGTATTTTCACCATCCTAAAATTCTTTTCTCCTACCTGGGCCCTAAAAATCACTTTTTAAAAATTACCTCTTCCTATAGTTTTTCATTTTCTAGAATGACATATAGTTGGAATTATACAGCATATAATGTTTCAGACTGGCTTTTTTTCCTCAGTACTATGCATTTAAGATTCCAACACCATAGCCTTTTGTGATGACAAATGAGTAATAGATTTTTTTGGTAAATAAGTATACATACATACATATATATATATGTAGTTTGTTTCATTTTTTATTTACATTTGACATTGAATTCTTTGTATCCATGTAACAAAATATAAAGAGACTATCCAAAGGTTTAGAAACATGTGTGCTGCTCTTTGTGACATCTTGGGACCTGCTGGGAACAGGACCTCTAAAAGGCAAGTATGTCTGGAAGACTGTGGTACAATGCCATTTTTGCTGGCTAGAAGTAAGGTCTCTGAAACCAAAGGAAGCACAGAACATATCTTTAAATTGAAGGTGTTTATGCCCAAGGTGAAACTAAATTCTACTTGGGCAAGAGATGTGTTTGTGTAAAAAAAAAAAACAAAAAAACAGCAATGTGAATCCTGGAGCAACCGTCCTACAAAGGCCATCAGACACAGAATCCAGAATCCATGTGATGCTATACCCTTCCTGGACATAAACTAGTGAGAAGTAAATTAATTAAAAAAATAAATGAAAAAATAAGAACCATGTATATTGAAAATATAGCATTCCGACTAATGCGTCACATTGTATTTGCTAACATGTATTTCCTTTTTCTCCCAACAGAGACATTTTGGATACCTTAACCCAGGTAACTTTTATCAGTTTTGCATATCTACAGAATGTCACTACCCCGTGTTTTCCCTCTATCGCCTATGTTTCCAGGAATTTCCCAAAGTACTCTTGCCATAAATGCTCCCTAGTGTGGTGGTCCCAGCCTGGCCTACAGAGCAAGTTCTAGGACAGCCAGGGCTACAAAGAGAAACCCTGTCTCAAAAACAGCAACAACAACACAAAGTTAGATTTTCCTTTCCTTAATATGTAATAACTGAGTTGACCACAAAATCTTCAGCATGCCCAAATTCTACTAAAGATGCTGGGAAGAAAATGTGCTAATATTTTGAAAGGCACCAGCACCAGACCGTGTCACCTGAGTTCTAGCCTTTGAGGAGCAGATGCTGCTGCCGACATCCCAGCCGGGTATGAATGCCTGGTGTCAATCATGTCTTCATCTTTGTGCTGGGCACACACTCCCATTATTGTGTCATTAGAGCTGGTTTTACAAACATTATACAAAGCTGCTTATTCAGCTGACAAATCCAGCACAATTTTAAAACCTAAAAAACTGACATATTTCTAAAATATGCAAAAATTTGGAGTAAAATAACAACAAGAGGTATCTAGAGCAAGCAGAGGCACTTGCTGTGCCAGACCTAGTGACCTGACTTCCGGTCCCAGAACCCACGGAAGTGTGGGAGGGCAGAAACAGTTCCACACAGCTGTCCTCTTACCTCCACATAGGCACCACGACACATACAACCACCAGCTGCTTATAACACACACACGCACAATAATAAATAAAAATTTTAAATGAATGTCTAGAAGACATAAAACAATCATATGCTATGCTACATTGGCATCATCCGACTTAGAAATCTGTCAGAATCACCCAGGATATCATCAAAGTAAAGGATACAAAACACTATCACGGTACTTAGGACATTTTCGCCAAGATTTTCCAAAAAGAAAGACTTCAGTCCAACATTTAAGAACCGTGACAAAAGCCTGCGACTCAGCTCATCACAACAAAACAGCAATGAAGATAAGAGAAGCCTCAAAGGTCAGACCATCTCAATGGCTAGCTCGGATGCAGCTAAAATAATCACTAGGAAGCAGCAAATATTTAAATGCAGTGAATAATTTAATACGGTAACTACTGACAATGCTGTAGCTAACACCGGACACTGTGTGTTGATTGCAAACATTCAGAGCGCTCAGCAGGCTGTCTACCTCCCCAAGGGCCAAAGAACTGAGACGGTAGGCCATGCATTCTGCAACCAGCAGATGTTTAACTTTGAAATCAGGAACAGACTTACTTAGAAAATCTGCAGGTTCAATTCTTTTTTTGTTTTGTTTTCCTCTCTCAGTAGGCCTTGAGCTTAGAATCCTCCTGCCTCCACTTCCAGAACTGCTGGGATTACAGACATCTACCATCACACCCAGTCTCCACCTCAGGGATATTTTTCACACGTGAGTGTTTTGCCTGCATGCGTGCATGTGCACTAGGCACGTGCAATGCCTGTGGAGGCCAAAAGAGGGCACCCAATCTCCCGGAACTGGAGTTACAGGCGGTCATAAGCCACCAAGGGGGTGAATCAAGCCTGGCCTCTCTGGAAGGGCAGCCGGTGCTCTTAACCACTGAGCGATCTCTCTCTAGTCCCCATATGATGGAGATTTTTAAGTACAGGTGTTCATGGGTCATAAAAAAACGAAGCCAAAATGAAAATTACAAAGTAATTACAAAAGTTCTAACTAAAAATTACAAAGTTGTAACTAAATAGTGAAGACTTCCAGGCAGATACAGAAAGACAGCCAAAACAACCATCCCCATCCTAATAACAACCCAGAAGAAAATGTGCAAGGAAAATGAACGTGGACCTTGAGCAGGGGTGGGGTGGGCGGGGGCCGGGTGGGGGCCCCAACGTTTCCTCATAGGACAAACACAGAGTCAAACTACATCGAAATACCATTTCCAACTCACTGAGCAGCACGGAGTGGGGGTGGTATAGAGGGAAAGGGCTCTCACATATTGCCGTGGAAGGCCTAACACTGAGACTGCTCTGAGGTAGCCAGGAAAATCACATTGTGAAGCCAGCAAGGAGACACAGTGTATCTATGTCATGGGATGGGGGGAGGGACATTGCCGTACACCTTGGTGACCTGGGTTTGATCCCTGGAACCCAAGGGTCCCAGTGAGCTTTACTCATCAAGTTGACTGAGCCTGCAGTCGTTTGACAGGAAAGCATACACTGAGGAGCTGCCTGGACCAGACTGGCCTATGTGCCAGTCTGTGAGGAACTCTACGCAGCATACGTTGTATTAAAAGGAGGAGAGAGATTATCTTTACTGATTCTATACAAAGGTTTTTCAGACTTTACTGAAATAGAGACAGTGACTAATTGGTCACCTGTGGACTTATGGGAACCAGGTAAGGGGAAAGAGAGGCATTTTGTTGTTGTTCTATTTTAAATATAATTTGCTCTTGTAAATAAATTATTCAAGACAAAAATAAGGAAACGGAAACAGAAACTCAAGAAAACAAAACAAAAGACCAAAAGAAAAGAAAGAGAAACCACTCATACCAGTTTCTATTGAATTTCCACACAGGTCAAGTGCCAAGGACAAGTTACAAATAATAGGCAGAGTACCATTTTCGGTAAAAAAAAAAAAAGTGTGGAAGTGTATAGGAAGGCTGCCATGTCTGTTTACAGATATACAGAAAAATGTGTGATCCGTAATACAGAACATTATCATCAGTTCCTTCAAGAAATAGAAAGACGTTTATTTACCCCTTCACAGACCTTTGTATTGTTCTAGTTATTAAAAACTACAAAATACTGATTTTGATGTTTTAAAATAGAGAATAACAAAACCTTTAATTTTAATTTTATATGTGTGCATATTTTTCCTACACGTATGTCTGTGTACCGCTTACATGCATGGTGCCTGTGGAGGGAGAAGAGGACATTGGATCCTTTGGAACGGGGATCACAGATAGTTGTGAGCCACCATGTAGGTGCTGGGACTTGAACCCAAGTCTCCCTCTGTGTTCTTCACCACTGAACCATTGCCCCATCACCAATAATGAGAACTTTGAAAATAGTTAAGAACATTTTGAGTAGTTTTGTCACACACAAAAATAATGAAATTTGTACAAAATATAAGGAAATGCCAATGCACACATATAATATGTTTCGTTCATACTCAACCTTATCCTTCCCTCTAACTACTTAACTACTCTGAGATTCCCCCTCCACTCCAGCCCCTCCTGACCTGATTCTCTCTCTCTCTCTCTCTCTCTCTCTCTCTCCTTCTCTCCCTGTCTTTCTTTGTCTCTCTCTCATTCTCTCTCTCTGTCTCTCTGTCTCATAACCCACTGAGCCCAATGTGTGCCTCTCATGCTTTCTTTTATAGATTATCACTGTGTGGGTGTTTGATCCAGAAAGTGCCAGCGCAGAAGAGCTGCTCTGGACTGCAAAGACACCTTCGCTGGTAACTATACAAATATAATCACAGATAAGATCATGACAGTCGCCTGTCTTTTTCTGAGGACCGAGTTTAAACTATGATCAATGATAGCAGTTTAAGCCTCCTGAAGCCAGCGTAAAACACTTTTATAGTCCCCTTGTTTAGTCTAGTCATCATAGGTATTTTGACCTTGCACTTGAGCTCTACAATTATAAACCTGTCTGTTGAGCATTCTTCTCATATGGGTGAGGAGGTGGGTCCTTCGTGCACTCTTAAGTACACATACATATCCTGGGAGCATCTCCACTGAAGCCATGCTTCAAAAACATAGCTAAGGCGTAACACAGCAAATATGTCAGCCCTCATTTATATTCATCACCAATTTGCTGCTTTGTAGATTGAAATTTTGCATTCTCTTACAACTAAAACACACTGAGGAAAATCCTATCGTAGCAAGGCAGGAACTCTGTTATGGGGGTGTGGTGCTTGGGCAAATGAGATGTTAGGGGTGGAGGCAGGCCAGGGCATGTGTGCAGAGACCAGAAGACAGCTCTGTAGAGTTGGTCGTCTCTCTCCTTCCACCTTTATTTGGATTCCAAGGATGGAACTCAGGATGGCAGGCTTATGCCATGGCAGCAGCCCTCAGAGCTGCGTTCTGTCTGGCCCCAGGCCATTGGTCATTAACTTTCTAATCCCGTCTAAGCCTATTCATTGGCCTATTCTTATCAGTGGTAGACATTTTACTTGGTTGCTAACACAAACCTCCTCTTTCACATTTACAGCTTCCTACTATTTAAAAGTGTGTTCACATATGTGTTCTAATCAAGCACAGTATCCATATTACAATAGAAAGCTAGCATGGAATAAATATTCTTGTTCCCTTATGGTTAACAAGTAAAATAGAAACATTAAAATATCTAACTATTTATCTGCCCTTTGAATACAGGCACTTCATATGAAGCTTTTGAGAGACTTAAAATACAAGGATCACATTTTCTTATCTTCCCTCTACTTGTTAAATTAGGCTTTTATTTTAAAATGATTTTACATTTACACAATTATGGCAAAGAATGTGCCTCCTTTTATCTTATATTGGTCACAACTTATGAAATACTGATACATTGTTATTAACCGAAGTCTATATTGGTCTTTCCTCAGTTTCCCCCAATATTCCCTTTCTCTGTCCCCAAGTACCATTGCGGTGGTTTTACATTTTTTAAATTATGGTGCCACTAAGGTTGGTCAGCAGATAAAGATTTTTTTTTTTCTGCCATGCCTAAATTACCTGGGTTCTATCACGGGGACCCAGGTGGAGGAAGGAGAAAAGTGACTTCCTCAGACTGTCCTGTGACTCCCACATGCACACCGTGGCAACATAGATCTCTACCCACAACAGCACAGAATAAACAATCGGACACTAGGTTTCTGTATTTCGGGATCTCCACAGTCTTCATTCACATAGGATTCTGATACCACAAGAATGTTTTCACTATGTTAGATCCTTTACCATGGCTTATATTCATTGATAGACTATGACATTTATCGTTCATGAAATTCTTGCAGGGAGGAAGCTAGATAGTTAAAAGAAACAAAGATAAATCTGGAAAGTATGTTGAATATATAAGCATAAACAATATCTTAACTAAAAGAACAAAGTTAATACAGCATTAGAGACATGAAAGTACTTCCAAACACCTTTGGTTGTGAAAACAATAAAAGAGAAACTTTTTTTTTTTTCAGAATTCCAGAATACTAACCAAGCAGCTCAACACCCTGGGACAGCAGCCATACATATACACAATTGAGAAGAGAAAAGTCTACCACCCACAGCCCTTAACTGCAGATGGGTATTTAATTTTTTTTCTAAATTCATCTTTAATTTAAAAAAATCAGAAGCTTTGAAAGAGATTTGAAAACATTAGTGGACTTTTATGAAGTGCATCTGACATGTGATTTTCAAGGGAAGAATTCTTTTATGGTACAGGAAACCAGTCAAATTCTTAGATGATGGTTTCACTATTTGGTTCAAAAACCTAACCCTCAATCTAAAAGCCTCATTAGAGGTGGCGATAAGCCCAACTGCTCCCTGCCCAGCCGTGAAAATGGGCTCCCGTGGGGTGATGGGTTGTGATAGTAGCTGGTTTCACCAGTGCTCACTGGCACACCCACTCTGCTACCCACAAACTCAAGCTTGAGAGGTAACATGGTAACTACAGAATGTAGTAGGTCGCCACAGACAGCTTCCCCAACCTGCTGAGAGCGTTGGCTCAGGCAGGGTGCTGGGAACTAATGGAAACAGTACTGTCCTCCACAAGGGAACAGACATGCTCTGACAGAGGCGAACACAGGCTGAGGTGTGGCATATAGCAATGCTTGACTCCCGCCTGCAGGACAAGGGAGTAGGGAACGCTCTCCCGAAAGTGAAGTTACCAGGTCAGAGAGCTTTCTAAGTGTGGGTGGAGAGCCTTCAAACTGGGGCTTAGGAGAACAGACAGATTCTAAGAGATGTGGAAGATGGTCATGAGTAGGAAGAATAACACCTGCCATTCAAAGGATCTTCGCAGCACTGATAAGCTCCATTCTTCCTGCTCTTATAACGCTTGGGGAGTGGATGGCAGGAGAAGCCATCCATCTAAAACCAGACCGAAGGCCTTCTCTGACGTGGCGGAAAGGTAGGGAGGTTCTGATAACACGTTCCTTTCCTGTTTTTAAGAAGCGTTGCTGAACGATAACTTACATGCCGTATAACCCGGCCTTTTAAACTGGAGTTTGAACTAACTCAGTGTGTCCGGCGCATTCCCACCTGTCCACCCAGTGCCACCGCTGTTCTGCACTGTTGGCTCATTTTGAAGTTGGTAAAGCATCTTGGCTATTCTTTCCTTCGGCTGTTAGGGATAATGCTGCCGCGGGCATCTGTGTGCCGATTTTCAAGTGGCGGCGTGTTTTGTTTCTCCTCGGTGTCTCTTTGGAAGTCACCCAGTTCCTTTGAGGAATGGCTAGAGTGCACAGTTCCAAAAATCACTGCCCCGTTCAGCTCTCCCCCAGCAGTATATGAAGTCTCCCATTTCTCCACAGCCACTGCACAACACCTGTCACTGTCTGCTTTACACATGGATAGCCATAGGAGCGCTCACCGGTGTAACTAGTCAGCTGTTCAGCTTCAGACACAGGGAGGAAAGGCATGCTTCCATGACGTGTCTTCGTGCTTCCATGACGTGTCTTCGCTTGCCACTCATGATGCTATGGGAAGCTATCTGTTAAGATAGAGGGGAGCAGGGCTGTTTGTTTGTGTTTACTGAGACACACCGCAGAAGAAAGAATATCAAAAGTCAGTATTATTTCCCTCTGTCGGAGTGGAGGCTAAAAAAAAAAAACTGAGCCATGGCAGCTTATGTTGATAAAGCCTATTTTTTTTTTAAAGCGTAAACTCTATGAGATGAATCAGAGGAAGGAGAGACCATTGTACCCACTCCTTTTTCTTCTCTTTCATTTTTCTTTCCTTAGAACATGGACCATCAAACTGCCAATGACCTCAGACGATTTACTCAAAGTCCTGAAAGGAAACCAAGTGGCTTTCCAAGATTGCTTCATTGCAAACCTCCCTTTCCTGCTGACATTTCCTTTGCTCCCCTTACCCGAGGTCCCTACAGGTCTCTCCCTCACTCTGCCAGCTGGGAACCAATTGATGTCTACCTGGGGTGCCTGCATCCCTTCATTTGCTGTCCTGGTCACTGAAAAGGACACCTTTCAAACGAATGATTCCTTCCGCACCTGGAACAGAATAACTGTCCCTCCAGGTATCCTGAGTGATGCTCAAAGGCAAAATGTGTCAGGTGTGACCGTGTTCGCCAGTGGACTTATTTTTCTAATAAATGGTGACCTTTACTATAAAAGTAGCAAAGAATTCGTAAAACTGGGCTCAAGTAAAGGTGTTCCTGAAACTGAAATTATTGGCATGACAAGAAGAAAGTGGTGTCAGATGCAATATCTATTTAAGGTTAGTGAACGATGATGTGTGCAAGCACGCGTGTTATCAACGTATATTTAGAACTATTACTATACTGTTTGTTCAGGGACATATTGGGGATCTATTAAGCAGCATTTTGCATGGTTATTATCACTCCCAGCCAAGGACTAACCCCACTTAGCTTCTAAGATCAGACAAGATTCAGCATATTCAAGCTTATATGGTGCTACAGACACAGTTATTTTATCTAAAGATACAAACAGCTGTATCTTTTGGGTCAAAGTTTCCTGAGGTCTCTTAGCAGTAAAGATTCATTACCAGTGACAAAGAATAAAATCAATCCTGTATACTATCATACAGAGCAATGCAGTCATATTGTTGGGATAAAAGCTCCCCCCCCATATGTTTTCCCAAAAGACCCTGTTGTGCTTTCAAAAGCAATCAAATTATTACAATATATTATGGATAATAGATACCAAAGCATTCTCATTACAAAACATTAAAAAATATTGCACAAAATTTAAATGTTTTTTTAACTGCATTGCTGCGCTCCTAAGGAAATATGTTATAGCAAAAACAAGCACATAAGTTGAATGTTAAGATGTGTGTGGTAGCCAAAGTGACCAGGAAGGATAGTGCTGAAGGACAGGCGACAATTCCAGTTGCCTTGAGTCCTGCACAGCGGTGGGTGGGTTTGCCTCTGTTGGTAGTGACGGGGCTTCCTTACAACATTCTCTGCTGAGGTTCTAAAGAGCACGGATGCTCTAACACCCACCTCATAAACACTCCTAAGACATTTTATAACTCCACAGCACAGAACCGACCAAGCCGCTCCCCACCTCAGAGCAGCCGGCTCCACTCTCTGTTTGATGTGCTCTGCTTAACTTTACCAACTACGCTCACTGATGCTTCGGGATACAAGCCTCCACGCAACCTGTGTCTTGACTGAATTTGTTTCTTCAAGAATCAAGGGACACATCACCATTCTACCCACATCCACACATACCCAAACACCAAAAGAATTCTGAGAGGGGATTAAAAAAAAAAAAAAAAAAAGCTGTCCTAAAGGACTTGCTCAGAGGAAGATACAAATTCCAGCTTCTTAGCTCTCCTGGAGACTAACCTCTGATGAGCAGAGTTCAGATGACAGGAGGGAAAGCCTTGGGCCTGAGCAAAGGATGGAATCTGGAACAAACTTTTTGCAAGAAATAATGACCTTCAAGGAGATCCTAATATATTCAGCTTTCATTCCAGAAAGAGAAGGGGCTGGGGAGTTGACTTAGCAGTTAAGAGCACTGGCTGCTCTTCCAGAGGACTTGACTTCTCTACCCAGCAACCACGTGGTAGCTCAGAACCATCTGAAACTCTAGTCTCAAGGGATCCAACACCCTCTAGGGACCTCCTTAGGTACCAGGCATAGGTTCCCAGACATAGATTTACGCAAAGCAGCTCATAGACATGAAATAATAAGTAAACATAAAAATTAAATGTTCTGAACTCTAGGATACTTAAAAAATGCAGACTGAGCAGGTTATATTTAAGAATATCCATATAATCACATATGCATGAAACAACAGTTAATGGGAAAAAAGGTCATGAATTTGAAAGAGAAGAAGGGGGGGGTATGGGAAGATTTAGGAGAAGGAAAGGGAAGAGGAAAATGGTGTAATTATAATCTCAAAAATAAAAGAAATAAATTTTTAAGAGTTTCCATCTGGATTTCCTAAATAGCAGCCAACTCACAATCACTTAAGAATTTGAATTTGCAGTAGCTGTGTGGCTTGCTTAGGTGTGGGATGTGAAAAGGAAAGTCTCAAGTAATTAATCATTTCCAGGCTGGCCTCTGGGGGTCGTTTTTATTGTTAGCTGACAGTGAAGGCCCAGCCTAGAAACGGGTGGCATCGTTTTCTAGGTTCAGGCTCTGGATTGTGTGACACTTGGGGAGAGGGTTGAGTAGAGTGTGCCTGCTTTTGGCTGTGGGTGTGATTCTGCTGCAGGCTCCTGCCTTAGCCTCCTACAGTGCTGGACGATCACCTGGAATTTTGAGAAAACAAACAAACAAACAAACAAAACCCTTCTCCTTTGAAGTTGCCTTGGTTAAAGTTTTTGGTCATAGGAATTGGGAAGACACATTTCTGTATTAGAAAAGAAAAAATATCTCAAATCAAACATTTCTGTTTCCACATTGGAAAAGTAGCTGAGGGCTGGGAGGGTATACCAGAGTAGTGTCTTTCTTCTATTATGTTTCAATATTGATAGTAATTACAAAATATTTATAGCAGATATTTTTCCATAGTGGTTCTGACTTACACCAAACTTTGACAAATTCAGTGTTTCAACATTCAACTCTTAGTGGGTGTAAAGTGGCATTTCACTTTAATCTTATAGAAGAACATCCTGTTTGTTTTGGTTTGGTTTTTTCTTTTGCAGTGCTAGGGTTAGATCTCAGGACCTCATACATACTAAGGAAACCCAGCACCTAGCTCTTATGTATTTCTTGCTTATGTCTTTCTTCTCTTTAACCATCGCCCTGCCTATGTCTTTGGGTTTTTCTGTTTTGGTTTGGGTTTTTTTTGTTTGTTGTTTGTTTGTTTGTTTGTTTGTTTTGGTTTTCCTGTGTCTTTGCATTGGGTGTTTTTTTTTTCTTTTTATAGACTTAAAAGTTTTTGTGCTGCTGTTGTTTTTTAATCCATAACGATAATCTCTGTCTTTGAGTAGAGTCTATTTAAATGTAGTGTTAAACTATGGCTATGGCTGAATTAAGACTACTCTCTGGGAGGCTGGAGAGATTGCTCTGTGTTTAAGAATACTTGCTGCTTAATCATGAGGCCAGAGTTTGGATCCGAGGACCCACACTGGGTGGCTCTGAAAGGGCTACAACTCAGTACAGAGAGAGCCAATATGTTTGTTTGATCTCCCTGGTCACCTGGTCACCTATGAAAATATACTCACATAGATATAGACACATGTGCGGAATGGGGAATAAAAGCCCACTACTTTGGCTTCTTTTCCCTCTACCAGGGATCGAGCCTAGGCCCTCACACATGCTAGTCAAGTGTTCTACCACTGAGCCACACCTCCAAAAGCAACACTCATTTCCTATCCATCCAACCAGTTCTTTGACCCTTTCTTTCTCCATCCTTGCCTCATTTTAAGTAGATCATTGCAATGTGTTTAGAATTTTTATGTTGTCTCATATACAAACTTTTTAAAGTGAAAACTATTTTGGTAGCTATACTTGTGTTTCTAATAATAATCTTTAAGCTATCAGGGTTTAGTTTTAAATAATACACTATGCCACAAAACAGTAAAAACCTTATGACTATGTCTTTCAATTTATACCCCAATCCTTTGTATAATATCATTTTACTTCTAAATATGCTATAAATCTCACAACACATTGTCATGTCACTGTTAGACTGTAAGTGATTCTAGTGTCATGGAAACTCATAGATACATATGTAAAATGATAAAAATTTAAAGATTTTTACTCTGTTGTTTCATGGGATATTTGGTTTTGCTTGTTGTTTGTTTGTTTGTTTTTGAGATAAGGTCTCACTGTGTAGCCCAGACTGGCCTCAAACTCAAAATCTTCCTCCATCAACCTCCTAACTTCTGGGATTACAGGTATATACCACCATGCCTGGAAAGAAGGATAAATAAATAAGCAAGGAAAAGCTGGTGTATTTAAAGTTTTAAAAGAAATAATTATTCTTTCTACTGATAGAAATACCAGAAAAAAATGAATAGAATTATTTCTTTTCATAATACACAATATGTTTTTTAAAACAGACTTCAGTACATGAAGTGTTACTCTGAAATATGCTAAAAGAAAACTTGGTAATTCCTTCTGATCTTATTGCTTTTGGTAATTACTTCCTTTTTTTTCTTATTACTTCTGGTGCTCAGGGTGGAGCCCAGGGTGGTCTGTGGAGCTCCCCTCCCCACCTGTGCTGTCCACTTTCAGGGTAGTAAAAATAGAAGATGGTGATCGCTAGACCCCTCTCTGTCACTGAGGATTTTTCAATTTGCTTTTCTTTTCCAGTCTGAAGTAAGAAAGAGCATGGTGGCAGCGTGGTCAAAACATGAACTTTTCCTTGGATACTCTTCGTTTAGATTTAGGAAAGTAATGGATGTTTCGTCACTGAGAGGGATTCTAAAGTTAGGCGCCACTCAAACCATAGAAATACAAAAAGCTGAGTACACCTGGCATCCCCTGGAGATCGCGCTGATACTGTCCCTCTGGTCCTCCCATACTACCACCAAGGACATTAACATAGTGATATATAATGAAGACTCACACGAGTGGACCTTCCAGGACTACGAATTAAAGTTTCCCAAGGACAGCAAGTTATTCATACACTTTCTTTACTCGGCGATGCCAGATTTTGTCCTGTGGAACGAACACAGTATCTACTATTGTTACAAAAATTTCACTGTGACGGGAATGATAAAAACACTTACAGGAGACACCAACCTGTCATCCATAGCACATGGAAGCAAGATCCACAACGTCATTCCAGGTGAGACATTCTCAATCCTGCTAAAAGTGTTCTGGGTTTCGTCATATCGATGATAGAGAAAGTGGAAGTGTTCCAACACGCAGTGCTTTTGGTGGCTACGGGTATATATTTAGCACCTAAAGCTTAACAGACTTCAAATTTGACTAGCATTAAAATGTGATCCCGTGTGGCAGAATGGGAAACCCAGAAGTCTCATTTCACTTGGTTGCCAGATGCTAGGGAAACAGTTTACATGTTTGTTGGAATAAGAGGTGTTTTATTGGTTAGCATTCCTAAGGTTAAATATCAGCCGAACATCTCCAGCTGTAGCTTCACCTCCCAGCCACACAGGCGAGGTTTCAGTAGGACATGTCCTTCTGCAGTATGGAATGGTTGGGGGAGGGGGAGTCCTGTTGGTTACTGTTTTGGTTTTTTTTTTTTTCTCCTTTACTTGTCCACAGACAAACCAGTTCAGTGTCTCCTGTCACTACACTGTGTTCCTCGTGTGTGCCTCTGTTTTCACTCGACCACCTTTTAAACACTTGCTGCAGAGACCGATGACCCCTGCTCAGATCCCCAGGCCCAGACACAGTAGCACAGATGGGAAAGGGAGTGTTCTGATGCCTGAACCCTGACCTCTTTCTAGAAGTGTGTGTCATGATACCCATGAATAAGCACATATACGCACACTCGTTACTCATACATCACACATGTGACATAAACAACCATAATGGGTTAGGGGCCAGCTATATCTGACTCTATATTTAAAAAAAAAGGAAGAAAGGAAGAAAAAAAGAAAAAAAATCACATTCTGAAGTTGTTGGTCCTGAGACTTAAAACTTTAACCTATCTTTTTAGATGTGTATAGGTCAGCCATAAATTAATATAGGTTTATATAGATCTATATAAGTCCACAAACAAACCATTCAAGACATTTAACCTCTCTAAGCCTCAGCTTTCAAGTCAAATGGGTCAATGGGCTTATATGTGTCAGAATTTGCAATCACTCTTTCTTGACCCCATGTTACCCTTTAATTCTTAGCATTTCAATTTTCTTCCCTCATGTATTCCAAGAAAGTGTTGTCTACCGTCATGTTATTTCCCCCCCTTTCCCGGCATTCCTCTTTGAATCAGTCTTTGTCAGACCTTCAACTTGTCTACTGTTAACTTGAGGTCAGTCTTCAGTCACCTTGCATGAGCTGCCGGTGGCACTTGGAACAATTTGACATGACCTTTGGGCCTTTCCTTAAAATGCTTTTCCTGCTTGGCCTACAGGGAGCCTCTTCTCACCCTCAGCCCCCTCCTCCTCTCCACCCCAAACCTCCTCTTCCTTCTTCCTTATCCAGCTTCTACTCCTCAGCCTTTTTCTAATCCTGGACATCATAGCTTCAGAGAAGCCAAGCATCCCAGAGTGTTTGTTTTTTTTTTTTCTTCTGGGCTCTGCCTGTGGTTTGCCTAGCAGCCATGATCCCAGGCCTAATCTCCCTGCTCCTATTTCTAGCTGCCTTCCTAATACATTTATGGGGATGGGTAGCAGGCGTTCCAAATCCCACACATCAGGTATTTTTATCTTGAAAGTACCTAAAAAGATTTGTAAAGTATACCTCTTGGTTATGTCCATGAAATCGTTTCCAGAGAGGACTGACTAGGGGAGAGCCTCGTGGGAGGCTGCCCTGAATGTCATCACACAATTTCATAGTCTGGAGTCCTGAATGGTATAAGAAAGATAAGAGCACACCATTCCAGCCACGCTTCTCCTCTGCTCCTCCTGACTTCGTGGGCTCCTGGGAGGCATCCCCCAGCCTGCCTGCAGGAGAACCAGCAAACCAAAGTGGTACCAGCTAGATACAGCCGTTGCTATAACCAGGTTTAACTGTAGATCTCAACCCTCCAGGACTAATTTGCGGGAATAATTTGGAAGCGCTTGGAGGTACAGGCTAGAGAAGCCCCGGCATGCTGTAGGCAAGACTTAAGGTTCACTTTTATTTTAATTATGTACCTATGTGAGTATGTGTGGTGGCAGTGTGAGCACATCTGTTCACCGAGCTCAATGGGCCAGTTCTGGTGAGAGCTTAGAAGACCCGACTGTCATTAGAAATGTGGGCAAGAAACTCGGTGATGAAGGCCGCACTGGGAATTTGATGAGAAGACAACCATGTTACAGCCTGGCAAGGAACTTGGCTACATTCTGCTAGTGTCCAGAGACTTCCTGTGTCCAGAGGCTGAGTTTTTAAAGTAAAAAGCAAAATTAATCTTGTGAAAGGAATGCCAAAGCTACCTGTAGGACAGGTTTCTCTAGCTGCTTTAAATAGGTTCACAGTGAGAAGCGAGAACAAAAAGAACTTTGCTTGTTTGCACAGAAAGACCCACAGAGAGTTGAGGCTGAGGAAGGCCTGCTTTCTGAAGAGATTGCCGCCACTGACTAGAAGCCACGTGTTTTCTCTGGGCATACTCAAACATGTCAGAGAATAAAATCACTAGAGATTTTTTTTTTTTTTTTTAAAGAGGATCCTGCTGGCACAGACTGTCTTAAAAGTTGTTCTCCAAGATTCATTTCACTGTGCTTAGCCATATAGGTACTCAGAAGCAGTGTCAAGTATGTGGTCCAAGGAAGTATGGCTACCCCTGAAAATGGCAACAGATCTTGGCTTCTTCCGCATGATGCCAGTTTCGTAGGCATGAAAACTTCAAGAGCTAACAGGGTACTGGATGCTTCTATCTAAATTCCGAAAGAAAGCCTGTGAGGCCAGGCAGTGTGACATCCTTGCCATCCCTACAGGCTATTGCAGGGCTTTGGGGGAACCTGCCTGAGGTTTAAGACACGGAGACATCTGTATAGTTCAAGGCTGTTGGGCTTTTGCTGGGCAGGCTCTCAGCTACAATCTAACCCAACTGAACCCGACTTCTTCCACAGCAGCTTGCCAGTGAAGAGGCGACATGTCCTGTTAGCTGGACATTGCTGGCTTTAGATAATAACTAAGAACACACTTTTTCCTAGCCACAAAATATAGTCCCTGTGGGTTACCCCAACAATAGGCCGTCCCTGAGAAAGGTGGTGAGTACAGCTATGAGGGGGAAGCCTGACCTTCACTGGAGAAACTTTCAGAAAAGTAGACTATCTGCCTAGAGCAACTGCAAATAATGAGTGAATCCAGCCCAAGAGAGAGGCCATGCAGGCTGAGGACTTCAAAGCCATCCCTGTATAGTCGCCCTGTATAGACTTTTGGGGCCCACACACCACCACCGCAATGTGCCTCAAAAGCTGGAAATACTGCTGCAGGGTTCAACATTTGTCTTGACAGCTTTCCCCATTTTTCTGTCCTCACCTTTCTTCCTCTCTTGGAATTGGAGTGTTTATCATATGCTAATGTCCCTTGAAAGAATATATTTTGTTCTTGTTTCTAGCTAAGAGTTTGCCTTGAATCTCAGAAGAAACTAAACTTGGGAGTTTGAACACTGTTGGGGGGGTCTTTTAAGACTGGGGTAAATCTCAGAGACGGACTCCATGTGTTTTGATTGTAAGGTAGAAAGGCATGAGCATTGCAGGGAGTGGGTAGTTCCGTGGTGGACTGTTTGGGTTAATTATGATTGTTAAGTTTGACTGAGGAATGCCTAAGGAGACTAGTAAAGCCTGCCCCTAAGTGTTTCTGGGTAGGATTAAGGGGCTGCACCATCCCACAGGCTGGAGGTGAAACAAAATGGGAAAACATGCCACAAGTAGGCATTCTCTCTAAACGCAGCAGTGGTTGAATCCTGGATGCTGAAGTAGTTGAAACGGCAGATAAGGACTCAAGAATCCAGTTTGTTGTTTGTTTTGTTTAAATCAGTAATCTTAAAGGAAATTCAAACAAGCGAAGGACATAATGACGTGAATAAAAAGACAAGAAAACCAACATGAATGAGAAATCCAGCAAGGAAAGTGAGATTTGGGAAAGCAAAACCAAGCAGAAATGCAGGAAATGAAGAAAGCCAGCGGAAAGCATCACCGGTATGTACGGCTGGACCAAGCAGAATGTCAGGGACTGCACGTAAAATCAAAGACATATCACGTTCAGGTGGCCAAAGGAGATTCTGTATTACCGTATCTCGCAAGAACTAGGGAACAGGCTGGTGGGATAAAGTAGCGGGGCTCGAAGCTGTCTTTGGATGCTGTGGTGAATGGGATAAATAAGGGAGGCAGAGCAGAGACTACTCTGAAGAAAGCAGAGAGCACAGGAGGTCACTAAGGGAGTAATACTCCTCCAAAGTATGGGGAACCCTCTGCTTTCATACAATGTTTGATATTTACCATTGATAGAAGGTGTGCATCTCATTTTACTCTTCTATGTAGAGGAATGTTAATTCAGAGCATGGCTGCTCTGGCAAGAAACAGATATCCAAAGACCTTCTAAGTCTGTGTGATCTGGCTGGAACACAGACACGCCATTAATCTAGGAGACAGAGACAAGCAGATCTGAGTTCAAAGCCAGCCTGATAGAGAGCAAGTCTTAGGTAAAGAAAAGCTTAGGTCCAGGCGTGGTGATAGTACATGCCTTTAATCCCAAACAATAAAGATTAAAAATAGTTTGTAGAAGGAAGCACCCATGTTTGGAAGTGATGTCTAAATGAGTAACAGAAAAAGTGACGAATCAGAGAAGATTTGACAGACTAGGAAAGGGAAGCTATGTAAGGGACAATGCAGAGAGAGGAGACAGTTTTACTGAGGCCGTCATAGAGACGGGTTGCAGAGAGAACAACTAGACACAGGTGAAGACAGAACAAGCCAGAGAATGAGAAGGAGCCAGAAGATTAGAGCAGATTGCTGCGGTTAGTTTGAGGCCTAGCAGAGCAATTCAGGGACCAAGAGAGAAGCCAGGTTGAATAAATTAGCTGGGAGAGGAGTTTGAGCCAGAGCAGCTGAGTTGAACCAGCTCATCTGAGCTCAGTAAGAACAAGAAAGGGTGAGCTTACTAAACAGTGAATCTCAGAGGCTGAAAACATTCCAGGCCTACGTTGGATCCTATGAGGCTAGAAGCCTCCAGGACTAGACCGAGGTTAGCAGGCAGAGGCAATAATCCTCTGAAACAACAACTGAACCAGGAGAATAAAAGTTCCTTTTGCACAAATCTAGTTTGTGCTTACTGGCCATTCTGTATGAGGCATATGTCAACGAGCTTCGAATTGACAGCCAACATATGCTAGCCATGTATCTCTGGCCCATCTCACTGTGTCTTAGCCTCATTGACAGATGTGCTCATCCCACTCTGCTGTTCTCTTGCCCCCCGCCTCCTAGTTTCAGTCAGTTTTAGAGGCTTGTACATTTCAGAAACCCCAGCATCTAGGCTTACTGGCCCCCGTCTCTCACCTGAACATGCACATTTCTTCTACGCGTGCAATTATATGTTATTTGTCGTCTTAAATTTTGTTGAGAGCCCTCCTTTCCCCTGTTGCAAAACTCTCTTAAACATTGTTCATTTGTGTGTGTGTTTGTTTCTGGTTTTGCTCCCCCCCTCCCCATTTATCAAAGTTTCTCTTTTTATTTAGTTCCCTTTTTTGGCCTTTTGTCATGAAAATTACTTCTCTATAAGTTTGGAGGCCTGTATCTGCTTCTTTTTCTTTGAAAGATTTATTTATCTTTATATTTACTTATATTTATTTATCTTTATCTGCATTGGTGTTTTGCATGCATAAATATCTGTGTGAGGGTGTCCAATCCCCTGGAACTGGAGTTACAGACAATTCTGAGCCACCATGTGGGTGCTGGGAATTGAACTCAGGTTCTCTGGTAGAGCAGCCAGAGTGCTCTTAACCACTGAGCCATCTCTCCAGCTCCATGTATCTGCTTCTTAAGTGATGTGATTAGCTCACTTTTTCTCACCCTTCTCTCTGTCTTCACTAAGAGGTATAAATAAGAACTGAGTAAAGCCTTACCACACAAGCCAGAAGAAGTGGCCACATATCTGTAACTCCAATGCTTCTATGGCAAGATAGGAGGTAGAGACAGAAATATCTCCAGAAGCTCATGAGCCAGCCAGCCTGGTATTTACTGCAATGAGCACTAAAGGTCAGAATATCTCCAACAAAGTGGAAGGTGAAGACGGACACCTCTGCTTGTCCTAATACAGCCCATTTTTCTGGTTTTTTTTTTTTTTTGTTGTTGTTGTTGTTGTTGTTGTTGTTTTGTTTTGTTTTTGTTTTTTTAATTCATGGTGTTGGCAGTGTGTGAACATATGGAGGCCAGAGGACAATCTGTGGATTCCAGAACCAAACTCAGGTCATCAGGTTTGGTGGTAGGAGCCATCTCTCCAGCCCATCTACTGTTTTTGTTTGAAAAGGTTTTCAGTTGTATGCAGAGTCATGCAATATGTATCCTATAATGGCTTAATAGTTCATCAAAGAGATCTTTTATATGCAAATCTGATTAGTATCTTATTTAGAGCAATTTATGAATTGGTGATTTATCTACTTTCAAATGTAAGACACACTGAGCACCAGGCACCCTTGACCCCGCACATCCGCCTCCTTACTTTTAACCAGTCATCTCTTGAGTGTTGCCTTTTGAAAAGTAGAAAAGACACATTGATAGAGGGTATGCAAAAGGAAGTCATCTTGAAAGGGAGTCATGAAATCCGCACTCCCAACTTGACCAGATAGAGCCACAAAACCAAAGACCTACCCTATTTCAGGCAAAGAACTCTGTTAAGGCAAGAAGGCTGGTCCTTTCTCCATCCCAGTAAGATATGCATTGTTCTACTGTGGTGATCCCCCATAACACCATAGGCTGGGTGTTAAACAACACATAGGAATTTGCTCACATTTCTGCCAGTCCAGAATCAAGGCACCGTGAAGAATGAATTCCAGTGAGCCCACAGACAGCTTCTTCCTCACTGTGTTCTCACAGGAACTGTCTCTCTCTCTCTCTCTGTCGTGTGTGTGTGTGTGTGTGTGTGTGTGTGTGTGTGTGTGTGTGTGTGTTTGTGGAGGGAGGGAGAGGGAGATCTTCCAGAAGAGTGGATTCCTCTTCTTCCAAGGATGCCAGTCCCCCTAGGTTAGTGTCCTCTGCTTATGACCTCACTTAACTAGAATTACCTCCTTAAAGTCTCTGTTCCCGGGTGTGGTTACAGTGTGGATGAAGGCTCCAGGATACGAATTTGAAGGAAACACAGATCTGAATGTAACATCATCCTCCCTGATAGTCCTGTCCTTTCTATGTGCATATTCCTTACTTCAAATGCTGTGTATGTGATATGGTATATATAAAGAGGCATCGTGAATATGAAGAGACATGTAGAGAATAAAAAGCCCTCAAATGAGGGCAGAGGTGGGAGTTCATACTTGTTTACTCTAATTCTTGTCAAGCTATATAGTCATTATGCAAGAAATTACTTTTATTAAAAGTCTACTTCAATGAAACAACATGATTTATGATTACTTAAAATAACACAAACTGCCAGGCAATGTGTTATTAAAGTCATAGCACATGACTTTAATCCCAGCACTCGGGAGGCAGAGGCAGGTGGGTCTCTGAGTTTGAGGCCAGCCTGGTCTACAGAGTAGTTCCAGGACAGCCAAGGCTACACAGAGAAACCCTGTCTCAAAAAATAAAACAAAACAAAACACCCCACAAACCTGGACCCACTGACATGACTCACCAAGTAAAAATGCTTGATGCCAAACCTGACAGTCTGGGTGTGATCCCTGGACCCCACTGGATAGAAAAAAAAAAAAAAAAAGCAAATTCCACAGATTTGCTCTGTTGCACATGCATGCACACACACCATACACACACACACAAATAAATACACGTTAGGAAATTAAATAACGCAAATGTTTCTTTTTCTTTTTTTTTTTTTTTCCAGATAATCAAGGGAGTATTTTGGTAAAAATGGAAAATAATGAAATGTTCTATTTCAAGTCTGACATTACAGATGCAGTTAAGCTACATAAATGGTTAAGCAAGAAAGCCAAGACAGCACTTTACGTCAACAAATCTTACAATATGTATCTCTTACATTTTGACAATTCTAAGCTGACGGTCCGGGAATACCCTTTGTATCTGGAGGTGCAAAGTATAATCCACAGAAACAAAGACAAAGACCGCTGCCCATTTCTGGCATTCCAACACAATATCATGAGACATTTTTACTTTCTGGATAAAGGAGAAAGCCTGACAGTTTGGTCTCAAATAGTCTACCGAGAAAATCTGGGTCTTTATATTATTGTGGAACACTATGGGCCAAACATATTAAACTCGAAACAACACGTTAACTATGAGATTGCCTCGGGATTCTGTACGAAAACTATGGTAAGTTGATTTTTTTTTTTTTTATTTCTTTATTCGGTTTGGATAACTATTATAACATTAGGTGTATTATTATTTTTTTTCTTTTTGAGGGACAGGGTATGTCACTAAACAAGTAAGCTAGGCTAGTTGACTATTGAGCCTCAGGGAACCACCAGTCCCTGCACACCTGTGAGGAATTACTCGATTAGGTGAGTTCCTGGGCAAGCCTGTGAGACATTTCTTGAGTAGGTTAGTTGTGATGGAAAGCCTGAATTCTGAGTATGGTCTGGGCTTCGGCCCAGATTCAAGCAAGTCAGAAGGAAAACCTTTTGCTTTTTGCCTGCTTGCCATTGCTTTCACTGATGAGCTTATCAACTGGTTTATGCTGCCACCACAGTCACTGCTGATGTCAGAACTCAGGTTCTCTGTCCTTCCAACGTGGAGTGAAAACCGGCAGCTCTCAGTAGCAGTTTGGGATGACAGAGGCAGCCAGCCTCGTAGACTACACAGCTGCCTCTTCACGTGAGGACAGCCATTGTTGGACCGTATCATGGAAGCCAACCAAAAACAGCCCACTTTAAGAGCAGTTGCCAGCCAGGCTATCACTCTCTCCAGAGTGCTGCGTACAGGCACTGCTGGACTTCCAGCATGCATAATGGAAGCCAACCTAGTAAGTTTGCTGCTTCTGGACCAGCCAAGGCTTGACTGTCGGTCAGTGTGCCGTGTGCTGCTGGCCACCGTTCTGCCGTTCACTGGGCGAGTCAGCACCAGCTTCCAACAAAGCACCCACCAGGCCTGCATTAGGCTTCCAGGCCTGCATCTCGCCAAACCTGCCTTCTGGTCCAAGGAGCCGAGCAGGCACAGGCTTCTGCAGTGCTCAGCACAGCAGCTTAACCAAGGAGCGGGAACATTTTGGTATCATCACAGGCCTCTGGAACTCCGGAATTTCCACTGCCTCTGACAACAACAATCTCGTTCAAAAGAGCTGAATTGTAACACTGGGTGGAGAATTCTTTCCACACCCTGGCCTAGCACACTGGCCTCACCCTAAAGCACTCTAGCTGTTCCTGAGATGCGTCCCTGAAATCTGGAACCTTTGATCCTGTACCACATAATGGAAAAGTTTGAGTGTGCCCCAGCCTACGGGCCTAAGCCTTCAAACTCTGACGGAGTTTAAAAAACGGAGGAGGCTCTGTTTTCCTACTTTGTTTTCCATCCTTCGCAAGGGACTGGATACAGTTTATGAAACAACTGATGCCTCTTGGTCCGGGCAACTCCCCGATATTGGCTGAAGGTTCCCTTACTCTCTTTCCTGAACCCAACAGCCCAACCTGAGCATAGGCAAAGACCTTTCAGCCTCTCAGAAAAAAAAACCCACCACCATCAATAACAACAAAACCACTGGAAATGCAGCGGCCATGTAATGGTCATTAGGACGGCAGCCAGCTTCTTAAATCTTCGGGCAGGCTTGTGTTTGGTGGGGAGTGGCAATCCCTTGCGGCAAAACCGTCTCATGAACATTGACCATCACCAGCAGCATTTCCTATCTTTGTCTATCATGGGGAACAATTCATAAAAAGGACCCTCAAGTTAGGGAGATACATACCCTCTTAAAATTACATGGTGTAGAACTCGCAAAAAAAAAAAAAAAAAAAAAAAAAAAAAAAACCCTCCTTATTTTGGGAGGAGGTGCTTCAGACATCACCCTGAGGGGATTTGCTAAACGTTTTAGCCAGGGACCCTTCCCACAGGAGACCAACAGCCTGGTCTTCACGTGGGTCCCCCAACAACTGGAGTTGGGGCTCTCTTTGATGCTGATGCCTGTCATGTTCACTCTTAACCTCTAGGTGCTTTCCCAGCCTTGTTCTATGCTTCCTGCAGTTTTTTGAGCAATGTGGGTACCCGTAGATTTCTTTGCTCCAATTCTGCACGGAGTTTTGGGATGTGGCGGTCACTGTCAGACACCCCATCAGGTATTACCTAAACCTCCATCACTTCCTTATGACTCCACAGAGAGCCTTGTAACTCTAATTAGTCACATGTCAAGCTTTCCCTTTGAGTCTTCCACTCCCTTCCATATTTACCTCATTCTCTTTACTCTCTCTGAGATGCAGTTGTGCAATTGCGTCCAGTCAACTTTCCACGTCAGTCTTGTTGCAGCTGATCTGTTGTTAAAATTGTATCTGGAATTTCTGGAATATCCACACGCTTAAGTTACGTTTGTGTATGCAGTTTAGCTTGGCTTTTCCACTTGGAAGATTCTTCTCTGTTGTTTTTAGAGTGCAATAACACATTTGATAGTGTTTTCTACACTACACATTGTCAAGCTTGACATTTATTCTAGAAACAGCAACTATTCATTCTTTCCACCACAGGTTTTAAATAGACTATTACATTCACAAAATGCACTTCTAAGCACACCCATAACATAAATAGTTTCAGTGCTTATAATCTAAAACAATATATGTGTTCGGGCATCGTTTCAAAGACAGTCATCATCAAAGCTTGGATGGCTACATTTCATAAAAGGAAATATGAAACTTTGGAACCCATTCATAAGCAAGAACATTCCTGTCAGTTTATCTCATTCTTCACACACAAGGAAAAGGAGTTGTGTGCAGCAGAATATAGGGATAAATCTGATCACCATCCCACCAAAGTGCACAGGCCGCAGCTTTATCAGATGGAATATTTTGTGTTGTGCCACCTTGAATCCAGCATCTTGTCACCCATAATTTTTTAGAGGAACTTAGTGCGTTCTCATCAAAACAGATTAACAAGAACCACATTGGAGTGATCTCCTCCTAAAGACTGTTCACAGCTGTGTGCACACAGAGACCTGCCCGGAAGAAACATGGAGATTTAAGTGTTGCGCTTCGTGTACGTGTAAATGTGGGGCTGAGGGTGTTGGCCGACTCCCATGTTTGTTCCATGAATGGTCTTTACTCGGCATGAACTGAGACCTCACAAAATGTGGGAGAGTCACATGACATGCTCCTGCGGGGAGGGAAGCAGGAGGAGCAACTTCACAGGGAAGGTGAACATAAAAATAATATATATATAAAACACCCCAAAACAACAAGAGAATGGGTATGGGTTCTGGTAACTATTCTGTGTACGACAACTGAAGCAGAGAAGAAATGTGAAACAGCTCAGTGAGAAGGGCACTAGAGAGCTCAGGAAATAAGTCAACAATAAAACCAAGAGAGCTGCAATGAAAAGAGCTAAGTGAATGGGGGTGGGGGGGAGGTATAACAAAGATAAGTTAAAATTAAAAGGGGCCCGGGGGATGGTTCAGTCATTGAAGTGCCTACCTGATAAGCACAAGGACATGAATCTGATCCCCAGAACCCACATTTCAAAAAAACTGGGTTTGGTAGCACACGCTTTAAATCCCAGCGTTTTGTTATTAGAGACAGACAGATCCCTAGGGCTCACCACCAGCCAGCCTGGCCTACTTGGTAAGCCTCAGGCCAGTGAGAGAGCCTGCCTCAAAGGGGAGGGAGCAGTCTGGAGAGCAGTCGGTGCCTAAGAGAGCCCAGGTACCATTCCTGGCACCCACATAGCAGCTCACAACCACCTGTAGCTCCAGTTCCAGGGGATCTGACGCCCTCTTCTGGCTCAGAGGGCACTGTGTGCTCACAGCGCACATAATGTCCATGTAGGCAAACACATAAAGTAAAAACACCCAGTTAGGTTTTCTTTTTAAGAGAAAACAAGTTTGGGAAAAAAAAAAAAAAAAAAAAAAGCCAGTACTGGCTTAGGCTACAGTTGTCCCCAAGCCTGACGATCTGAATTGGATCCCCAGGACCCATGTAGTAGAAGAGAGCGTGGAGTCGGAGGACAGCTCCTACTCTATGCTCCACACTGGCAGGTCCCTACACCTATCCCTCTCTCACACACACAGAACAAATGAATAAATGAATAAGTAAGTCTTTATATTATTTCCCTTCCTCAAAGATTTAAACGTCTAGAAGTACACAGTCTGTCTCGGAAGAACTCGTTTTGCAATGATGGCCGCTGTAACTGTTCTAGACTATCTGGACGGAAAACCTAAATGATTCTAACTTTAGGCCTCATTCCCACCTTTTATGCTCTGCAGAAATTTTTTATTTTATTTTATTTTCAGTTAACAACGTTTTCTCAGTCAACAGATTACGAATCAGTAAGCGATTACTTCAATTTACAGTAAGTATGACTTTTAAATATTCTATTCTGTTTTTTTATACGTATGTTTTCTTTTGTTTAAATGAACTCACACCCTTTTAAATGTCCAAATTTCAACATCCTTTGCATGTCTAGAGATGTGAGAAATTAGTGTTTAGCCTTTAAAATGTGAGCATTTCTTATAATTCAGCGGGAAGTGATCTGAAGGGTCTCCTTCACACTGATAAAGATGCCAAGATCACCTCATCTTTCTTCTTTGTGGTGAGTGTATGTGTGTGTGTGTGTGTGTGTGTGTGTGTGTATGCACACCTGTAGGTATACATACACACACACATACACTCACCACAAAGAAGAAAGAAAAGACAACAAGATGGCGGAGCAGTGACCAGGAAGAGCTAGGAGGAAATGTTCCTTGTGCTCAGCAGTCAGGAGAGGTTCTAATACCCTCCCCCACCCTCTCGCTCTTCCTTCTGGCTTTGTGGGATGGCAAATGTGACTGTCAATTTGATAAGGTCTAGATTCACCTGGAAGACGGTCCCTGGGCATATCTATAGGGATCATCGGGATTAGGTTACTTGAGATGGCAAGACCTGACCATCGTGAGTAGAGCCATTCTGTGTTGTGAGGGCTGGTTTCATGTCAACCTGGCACATGCTGGAGTCATCTGAGAGGAGGGAACCAAACTGAGAAGGTCCCGCCCGTAAGATCCAGCTGAGGGGCATTTCCTTAATTAGTGATGGGGGCGGGTCCACCACCCCATCGTGGGTGGCGCCATCCCTGAGCTGGGTCCTGGGCTCCATAGAAAAGCAGGCTGAGCCAGCCATGAGCGGCAAGCCACTAAGCAGCATCCCTCCCTGGCCCCTGCATCAGCTCCCTCCTTGGGCTTCCTGCCCTGTGTGAGTTCCCGTCCTGACTTCCTTCAGTGACCAATAGTGATGTGGAAGTGTAAGCCCACTAAACCCTTTCCTCCCCAAGTTTGCTTTGGTCATGGTGTTTGATCACAGCAGTAGAAATCCCCCCCCCCACTAAGACCTGGAATGTAAACAGGGAAAAGGAGCCAGGCACAAGCCTTCAGCCTTCTCTGCCCCAATTGTAGGTGTGACAGTCCAATGTTCCAACTCCTTGCTGCACCTATGAAGTATGAACTCACACCCCTCTTCCCTTAAGTTTGCTTTGGCCAGGATGTTTTATCATAGCGACAGAAAGGTAACTAGCACGCCTGTCCATATCCCATTGGATATTTTTTGGTTTTGTGGATATTTACTGAGAAATAATATTGTAGAGCACACATAAAGTTATCTAAGATATTTTCTTTTCCCTAGTTGCCCCCTCCCCGCCCCTCTGAAAAGCAGAATCTTAGTCAGGAAGTACAGTGTTTGAATCAAGCCTTTGGCTGTTCTGTTTCTGTTAAATTTTTGAAACCTCTATTTTGCTCCAACACAAAATGATCTGTGTACACTTGGTAACTAAGAAAGGCATTATATCTGACCTTTCTCTGAGTTCAGATGAAATCAGTTTATGCAGATTAATGTGGTTAGGGAGGCGAATTACTCCTGTTGTTTCACAGGTGCTGCCAATGGGTAGAAACTCCATAAGAGCGAAAGGAAGAACACATCCAGCGAGGCTTTAAGGGCAGAGCCCCAGTATTCAGGGACCAAGGATATTTGTAAAGGGCGTGGGGTGCCCCTGAAAGGCTGACAGGTGCTCACTTTTGTCTCCCGCTGTGCTAGCCAATCGATCCAAAGGTGGGGTGGGGGTGAGGCAGTCCAGGAGCTGCCACAGGACGTTATCACAGCCGTGGAAAAGCTGCCACCCTCCAGGCTTCTTCAGCTCCCCAGAGGGGTTAACGCCGTGCTGTAATAGGACTTCACGTCTGCTCTTCATGAAGGCAGACTCCTGGTTGCCTGCTCTCATGATTCTATAATAACCTGTGTGGATTGTCTTTTCCTAGAAAGAACAATATGGGTCTCTTGCTCGTTCAGATCCGACCTAGTGAGTTTTCAAAAGCATGTCCAATGACCAAAAAGGTAGGTGACGCGGGTTGAAAATCGAAAAATTGTCTTCAAAAATAGATAGTCGGGGAACTGGGAGCTGGGTCAGTGGAAGAAGCACTTGCCACGCCTGCTGAAGGACCGGAGTTTGGATCCCCAGGACTCACATAAATGCTGGGAACCATATGGCCTCAGACATATGGCACCCTACCAGGAATTCCAGCATTTGGGCGGTGCAGTCAGGGGGATCTCCAGGACAAGCTGGCCGGATAGCCTCGTCCCGTCGGTGACCCCTGGGTTCAGTAGAGAGACCTGCCTCAAAAAGTAAGGTAGAGAGCAACTGAGGGTGACCCCTGATGCCCACCTCAGGCCTCCACACACAAGTCCACACACGCATATGCACCCACACATACATGTACCCATACATATCTGGGCGCACACACAAGCACATCACACACACACACACTAAAAAAACAAAACAAAAAAAATGTATAGTTAGTAAACTAAATAATATATATTACCTTATTTCGGTCCTCTCTCCTCCTCGGGGAAGATTGCTGTCCTTTGTTTTGGGAGAAGACACACAAGTTCACCTAAAGTGGGATTATATAAGTATATAAATGAAAGTAACACTATTAATTTTTGAAGGTTTTGTAAACTGTTTAAAGACAAACTGGCACAGCAGGAGACGAAAGTCAAGGGGGACAAATGCAGTTGGGTGGGGTTTGTCAAAGGAGTCTGCCGGGACACGCCCACATTGATTTACAAGATAGTGTGTGTTTTTAGTCATCCAAAGGGACTTGTTTGGGTGGGCTGTGTTGTTTTTATTTTTGCTTTTGTTTTTTTTTTTCAGGAAAGTTTACTATACCCCATTACATTTCTTGATTTTCAGTCTCTGCACCCAGTAGCAGAAGTTCTAAAATGCCCTCAGGAAATAGACAACCTGGTGCACACATTTACCAAGTAGCTGGGCAGAAAGAGCAAGCAGGTTTGGTTGAGAAGGGAAAGGTGGGGAGAAATAGATGGAAATTTATAACTGAAGAATAAGTAGACACAGAGCAGGCAGAGGGACTCCAAGACAAGACACGGACAACGCCACCAAGGTGAGAAACAGGCACAGAATGTCCCGGCCACCACCAGTACTGAGCAGTCGCCTCCGAGTGTGTGATCTACTGTCAATCTTTCTCAGCCTAACCAACAGCCTCCCTCAGAGCTGTGCTGGCTGCGCCCCACCCCCACCCCACCCCCACTACCACCTACCCGCCTGCACCCTGCCGTGGGAGCAAAAAACAGCAACCTGGACCCGCTGCCTTTGGAGGTTCGGCCCTGACCCCTGTGGATACCGTCCAGAAGCACGTGACTTCTCCTGCTCCTCTCTAGTCATGAATGTGTCAAGGTTTCCTCTTTGCCTGACCCTTCCCAGCCCAGCTTTACCCAGCAGATCTGTCTCGCCGGAGTTGAGATCTCGCTTGTACCGTTCACGGGCTTGGTCAAGCTTCTTATGCCCTTTGAGGAATGTTGGGAGCGATAAGTGGCAACCTTTTTGAAAAGTATTCAAAACAAAAAGAAACGAGAAAAAGCAATGCCTGTCATAGAATGATTCTCTAATAACCCTGGGCGTAAGAAGAGGTTTCCACTTGTCCTTTTTTCCAAGGCAGGCCTGCTTCAGACCTTGCCTCCTGGACACACTGCAGTGGACAGTGGCCTGTCTCTGAGATCCAGGCAACAACCCTGTTGTAGAAAATTGGTTACTAATATTTACCTTTAGTCCATATAATTATTATGGCAGTTATTTATTAAGCTTGCTACTATATCAATAAAAGACAAAGACACCCGTTAGATTTTTTTTTTTTAATATGCCTATACAATGTCAGAAACTACTTCCCTAAGCTATTTTTCCCAGCCCCACATCCCATGCCAATTGCTCTTAATAATTCCTAACTGGGCTACTTCCCATCCAATATCCCATAATACTTGCACATGTTTCTCATCTGGGCTGCGTCCTTCATCAGCAATCCTCAGAGCAGGCTCCTCCCAGTTGCCTTTGCTCCCTTCCCTCTCTCCGGCTCCGCCCAGTGTCGGCATTTCTACTGGTCCTTTAGGGATGATTTTGGGGGGCGAGGATGCACAAGCATCGTTTTGGTTACCTGAGGGTTTGCTGGTAGAACAGTAAGAGTTTCCGGATAGAGAGGAAAGCAATTAACATTTGAATACACCGTGGCTCTAGCTCAAGCCCACACAGCCCAGCTAAGCGACAGGAAGACATGCTGTAGAGACAGGTTGCCTGATAAGCCTCGGACGTCAAAACCTGGACACCAATTACAGACTGTGCCCTCAAGCACCGGGTCCCTTCTTTGCAGTTTGAAGCCTTGCTCATGAATAAGCAAGACATCAACCTTCCAGGAAAGCAGTCCAGAGACAGACGGCACCAGCTCCCCTCTCCCCCATCTGATGGTGTCAGACCAAATGGGCTAGCACCAGCCCTTTGAATCGGAGCCTGCCATCTTTGTCATTTGCTCTCAGTGTCTGCAGCATAGAGAACTGTCATCTCCAACAAAACAGCATGTCGCACCTCAACTGTGCACTGAGACCCGAACACGCAGAAGTGTAGGCCAGACCCCAGATGTCCGAGAAGAATTGCCCCACCAGCGGCATGACAGTGGCAAAGGCCGTTAGAATTCCCGTGTGGACTGGTCAGTGCCTCAGAGTCCAGCTCTCACTTCCCACCACCCACACGAGCGCTCACAACTGCTTGACACTCTAGCTCCAGGGGATCTGTGTCCTCTTCCAACCTCTGCGAGCACCTGAATACATGTGGCGCACACAGAAACTAGCAGACTGATAAACAAATGAGAGGAAAATTTGCTGGGCCTGACCCTGAGCCGGGGAGATGGAAGCAGCCCCGCCTCATCCCTGGACTGAAGAGAAATGGTTTCACTTCGGCTCTGGATCAGAATGTCTCCAAGCAGACATCGGGAAGGCCATGTGCCTAGCCTGCAGCTGTAGTTTCCTTAGAAAAGGGGCTTTTTGCCAGCCTCCTCTCCAGGTCCACTGACAAGACAACTCGTATTTCTAACCCTAGCCGTGGTCACGGTTTCTGGGGCTTGTGATTTTGACAATGCAGACCAGGATGAGAATGGGGCGCTACAAGTAAAGACATCATGTGAGGGGCACCATTTGTCCTGACCGTGATAGGGTTGAGGAGCCACCCTTTGACGGGGTACAGACTGTTTAACCAACCTGAAGCGCAGGGCCATGCTCCTGAATGGATTTCACAGGAAAGAAAATAACGACTGTAGGTAATAAGGGGGGTGCAAGTCAACTTTGCTGGGAAAATAAACTGCATCCTAAATGGTTAGCAAATAAAATTTAGAAACACCCCCTGTGGAATAGGCCTCTGAAAAGAGGCCTGAAAAGCCGTGGCTTACTCGGCAAGGGAGAGAGAACCAGGCCCCTGGCTCTGACAGAAACACAGCAGTTCTGCAAAGCTGAAAGCAGTTATCTGCTCTTTTTTTTTTTCTTTCTTTCTTTCTTAATCTGCTATATTTTCAACCATGGCTGTCTTGTTAAGCTTTCTTGTAAGGCTGATACAGTCATTACTTTAGTCCTGCGGAAGCTGAGTATAGCTTTTAGGCACTGTATTTCTGAGCAGCAACAGTCAGAGTACAGTGTTGGCCAAGAAGTCGTCTTAATGGCTGCCTTGGTGAAGTTAACCCCCTTTCAGCTTTAAGTCCAATGCACCTGGCTGCCAGGTTTAAAAGGCAGAAAGAAAGCAAGAGTCTCTCTTATTTTTTTGAGCACAGCCATCATCCTTCCATGTCTTTCCTGGAAACGCATCTGATCTCTTCAACAATGGAGGGATTGGAGGCAAGCTCAATATAGTTATCAAATCAGGGTCAGGCAAAAAGCAACATAACTTGAGTCCGGGAGTTCCTGGACAGCCTGGACAATGTAACACGATCCGAAAAAATGGGGGTGGGGATGTTACATCGCATCACACTGCAATAGATTTTTGTATAAGTGTGTGGTCTATGCACATGTTTACCTGTGTGTAGACACATGTGTGTGTTCGATCATGACTGTGGAGGCCCAAGCTGGATGTCAGGTGTCTTTCTTGATGTTGCCCTTTTCCATGTAGAATGTCTGTTTTATGTCACGCTTGCTTTCCTGACTGAACCCCGGAGTTTCCCTGAGTAAGAGGGTTCTGTGTGAAAGCCTCTCACAACCGTGCAGGCACCGTGCTGGCTGCTGAGCTACCCTAGCCACGGGTAGTCCATTTCCTTTTAAACAAATAAATACAGGCGCCGGGGATGCGGGACCCACACGGCTGCCTGTAATCACAGCACGTGGAAGGAAGCGGCAGGATGCCACACGTGTGAGGTCGAGGTGTTTAAAGCAAATGCCCACCGTCCCAGGGTGCAGCCTAGCAGCTGTTGACACCCTTGAAGATTGACTAGTGCTGGGTAAACGGGAACTAGCAAAGCAGGCGAGGCTGGCCGTGCAAGGCCACTCAATTCCCTGACAGGCTGCCGCTTGAATCAAGTCTCCTATAGACGCCTGCCGGCAGGATCCACAGCACAGGCTGAAAGCAAGGAGTTAATGGGGCTCAGCGGTGCAGCTAGAAGGGTCTCACCACTAAGAGATCTCCTTAGGTATGTGCACAGATTCTAAAATCTGGGACACTCCTTGTGCCAAGCGTTTTAGATAAGAAACCTTCAGTCTGTGTTTCCAATCCAAAAAAAAAAAAAAAAATGGGACTATGTTTGGTTCTAACGTCAGGTCAGATGGTTCAAGTCAGACCCGCTGTGCTCACTCTGTAAAATTACTTTCTCTTATAGGTGTTCGAACTTGCTGTTGGCTGTGATGCAAAAAAACACATTAGGGTTAAAGGGTAAGAGTTGCTTCTGTTTGCTGGGCCCTGCTCTAACTTTCAGAACAGATGGAGCAAACCGAGTGATGACCGATGGTTGATCACACCAGCCCTTAACGGGCATGCTCGTGACGCATGCTCCAAAGTTGAACTGGAACTGGGTTCCCGCTTCAGCAGGTTTGAATATTTTACTTTATCATTTTTTTGCGTGCATGAGTAGTTTGCCTGCGTGTATATTTGTGTGCCACATGCACGCCTGGTGCTCTAAGAGGGTACCAGGTCGCCTGGAGCTAGAGTTGCAAACAGTTGTAAGCCGCCAAGGGGGAACAGCAAATCAAACCTAGGTCCCCGAGGGAGCAGCCAGTGCTCCTGACCACTGAGCCATGTGTCAAGCCACATCTTACGTTAGAGTCACACTAGAAGGCAGCATCTCTCTCATTTCCGCTTTTCCTCACAATAAGCCAGTCTCCGTCTTTGCCGCTACTCACCAGTCTGTGACTCAAAAACAAGAGAGGCCATTTCCCTTCTTTCTGTCCTACTTAAACCATGTGTGGTTTTTCCCTGGTCAGAGACTTGTCTTTACCTGTGCTAGAGACACCTTCACTTCCTGCACCCATTTGCCCTGCAAACAATTATTATTATTATTATTATTATTATTATTATTATTATTATTATTATTATTATTATTATAAGCTAAAAGAACCACACAAGTCCGTTTGACCAGGTCTGGCGCATAGTGACAACGGCTTGCTGTGACTTCTTTCCTTGGCGGGGGTGGGGGTGCAGAGTGGAAACAGCGCCGTGGGTTGTGGATCTTCATCTTAGTGTGTAGGAGATGGCTTGCTCGTCGATTCCTAGCAGTGCATGGACCCACACTGCCATTGCCTAGGACCTGCCTAGAGAAATGCAGAAACTCACACCTCGCTCAAACTGCCAATCACAGTCTGCATTTTGGCAATTTAAGAATAACTACCGCAAGCAACTTGCTAACGAAATGAATGTTCGGTACAGTCGAGTGCCAGATTCCTTCTCAGGCTCCTGCCGGCCTACCCCAGCAGGCAGTGCGGGGCAGCTTGAGCCAGCCTATGTCTGGAGGGGATCTAGGTAATAACGAAGCTGTTCGTGAGAACTGCCCCGAGAGCACACTCGACTACAGACCCTTTCAGGCCTTTCTCTAGCTCTTAGTCGATGGCCCGTGGCTCTGGAGCCACAAGAATGATTTGTGTATCTTGGATTCAAGTTGCTGTGGGCAGATGGTCTTTACAGTTCTCAAGGGGGAGCAAGAACTTCAACGTTCTGAGGTCCCAGGCACCTGAGCAGAGCAGGAAAGCTGTCAACAAAGAAAAACACCTTTTAGGGCCTAGCTTGAGTTCAGAGCTCACGGCCATCTAGACCTCTGACATCCATCTACAATCTGTGGTGGCTAGGCTTCTTGGAAAACACACAGAAAACAGCCAGCCAAAAGGACCGAATGAGTAATACAGCTTACGAAAGCTGTGGTGGAGCATTCCTTTAACGGCCCAAGCAGAAGCAGACAGATCCTAGCCATTCTGACAGGTATAAGATGGAATCTCAGAGTAGTTCTGATTTGCATTTTCCTCAAAGCTAAAGGTGTTGCACACTTCTGTAAGTGTTTCTCAGCTATTTGGGATTCCTGTATGGAGAATTCTCTGTTTGGATCTGCACCCCATTTTTAAATTGGATTATTTGGTATACGTATATGTGTGTGTGTGTGTGTGTGTGTGTGTGCGCGCATATGTTCAAGACATGGTTTCTCTGTGTAGCTCTGGCTGTTCCGAAACTCACTCTGTAGAACCAGGCTGGTCTTGAACTCACAGAGATCCACCTGCCTCTGCCTTCCAAATGCTGGGATTAAAAGTGTGTGCCACCGCCACCCAGCGGTTTTTTGGTATCTTGAGTTCTTTATATATTGGATATTTGTCCTCTATCAGAGGTAGGGTTGGTGAAAATTTTTCCCATCCTATTGGCAGCTGCTTTGTCTGACTGAAGCTGTCTTTTGCCTTACAGCAGCTTCTCAGTTTCATGAGGTCCCTTTATTAATTGATGATCTTAGTGTCTGTGCTAAGAGTGGTCTGTTCAGGAAGTGGTCTCCTGTGCCAATGCCACGCTCCACTTTCTCTTCTGTCAGGTTCAGTATATCTGGTTTTGTGTTAAGGTCTTTGATCCATTTGGACTTGGGTTTTGTGCAAGGTGATAAATATGGATTTATTTGCACCTGTATACATGTAGATAACCAGTTAGACAAGCACCATTTGTTAAAGATGCTGTCTTTTTTTTCCAGTGTGTATTTCTGGCTGCTTTATCAAAAATCAGGTGTCTCTATGTGCTTGTGTTTGTGTCTGAGCCTTCAGTTCTATTCAGTTGATCAGTGTGTCTGTTTTTATGCCAATACTATGTGGTTTTTATTACTATAGCTCTGTAGTACAACTTGAAATCAGGGATGGTGACACCTCCAGCATTCCTTTAGTGTTCAGAATTGTTGTAGCTATCCTGGGGTTTTTGTTTGGGGCTTTTTTTTTCTTTTCCATATGAAGTTGAAAAATTGTCCTTTCAAGGTCCGTAAAGAAGTGTGTTGGAATTTTGATGAAGGTCTCATTAAATCTGTATATTTCCTTACTATGTTAATCCTACTCATCCATGAGCATGGGAGATCTTTCTATCCTGGTATCTTCAATTTCATTCTTCAAAGACTTGAAGTTTTTATCATACAGGTCTTTCACTTGCTTGGTTAGAATTACCCCAAAATATTTTATTTTTTAAGGCTGCTGCAAAAGCTGTTGTTTTCCTGATTTCTTTCTCAGCCCATTTGTCATTTGTATATAAGAGAGCTACTGATTTTTTTGTTTGTTTTTTTTGGTTGGTTGGGGTTTTGTTGTTATTTTTCAAGAGAGGGTTTCTCTGTGTAGCCTTGGCTGTCGTGGACTTGTTTGTAGACCAGGCTGGCCTCCAACACACAGAGATCTGCCTGCCTCTGCCTCCCTGAGTGCTGGGATTAGAGGCGGGCACTACCACACCCAGCTGATTTTTTTTTCTTAGTTAATCTTGCATCCAGCAACTTTGCTGAAAGTGTTTATCAGCTATAGGAGTTTCTAGTGGAATTTTTAGGGCCACTTTTGTATACTATCATGTCGTCTGAAAATAACAGTACTTTGACTTCTTCCTTTGCAATTTGTATCTCTTTGATCTTCTTTAGTTGTCTTATTGCTCTAGCTAACATGCCAGGTAGTATATTGAACAGATACCAAGAGTATGAACAATCTTGTCTTGCTCCTGATTTTAGCAGAATTGCTTTGAGTTTCTCTCCATCTAATTTAATGTCGGATACTGGCCTGCTTTAAATTGCCTTATTATGTTTAGGTATGTCCCTTCTATCCCTAATCTCTCCAGAATTTTTGTCATTATTTTTGTCAAAGGCCTTTTCTGCATCTAATGAAATGATCCTGTGGGTTTTTTTTTTTAATATAGTAGATTACATCTCTGGTATTTCTGTGTTGAACCATCTCTGCATCTCTGGGATGAAGTCTCCTTGATCACGGTGGATGCTCATTTTGATGTATGCCTGGATTTGGTTTGCAAGTATTTTATTGAATATTTTTGCTTTTAGGTTTTGTTTTTGTTTAATTTATTATTTTTTTTGAAAAAGGATTTCTCTGTGTGTAGCTTTGGCTGTCCTGGAACTCATTCTGTAGACCAGGCTGGCCTTGAACTCATAGCGATCCACCTGCCTTTGTCTCCTGAATGCTGGGATTAAAGGCCACTGCCTGTCTATGTCCATAAGGGAAACTGGTCTGAAATTCTCTTTCCTTGTCTTGAGCATTAGGGTAACTATGGCCTCATAAAATGAATTGGGCAATGTCCCTTCTGTTTTTATTTTGTGGAATAATTTGAAGAGTACTGGTGTTAACTCTTCTTTCAAAGTCTGGTAAAATTATGCATTAAAACCATATGGTCCTGGGCTTTGTTTGGTTTGGAGACTTTTAATGACTGCTTCTATTCCTTATGGGTTAGAGGTCTATTGCCTGATCTTGATTTAACTTTGGTAAGTGGTACCCCAAGAAAATTATCCACTTCTTTTTTATTTTCCAGTTTGGTGGAGTACAGGTTTTTGAAGTGTAACCTAATAATGATTCTTTGGATTTCTTTGGTGTCTGTTGTTATGTCTGCCTTTTCATTTCTGATTTTGTTAATTTGGATACTGTCTCTGTGTCTTTTAGTTAGTTTGGATAAGGATTTGTCTATCTTATTGATTTTCTCAAAGAACCAAACTCTTTGCTTTGTTCTTTGTATTTTTCTCTTTGTTTCTATTTTATTGATTTCAGCCCTCTGTTTGATTATTTCCTGCTGTCCACTCCTCTTGAGTGTGATTACTTCTTTTTGTTCTGCAGTTTTCAAGTGAGCTGTTAAGTTGCTAGTATAAGATCTCTCCATTTTTTTATATAGGCACTTAGTGCTACAAACTTTTCTCTTAGCATCACATTCAATGTGTCCCGTAGTTTGGCTATACTAAGTATTCATTTTCATTGCATTCTGGAATGTCTCTAATTTCTTTACTTCTCTCTTGACTCATTTTACAGTTAGTAGAGAGTTGACCCATTTCCATGAGTTTGTAAGTTTTCTGTTGTTGATGATATCCATTTTTTAATTCATGGTGGTTTGATAGGATTCAGGGGGTTATTCCAATTTTCTTATATCTGTTGAGACTTGCTATTTGACAAACTATGTGGTCAATTTGGAGAAAATTACATGAGCTGCTAAGAAGAAGGTATATTCTTTTACATTTCAGGTAAATTGTTCTGTAAACAGAACAATTGTCCATTTGGTTTATAACATCTGTTAATGCCAGTATTTTTTTTTGTTGTTTAGTTTTTGTCTGGATGACCTATCCATTGATGCGAGTAAGGTATTTAAGTTTCCCACTATCTGTGGTGTGAGAGTCAAAATGTGATTTAAGCTGTAGTGGTGTTTCTTTTACAAACTTAGGTGCCTTTGTGTTTGGAGTGTGCAAATTAAAAGTTGAAATGTCATGTTGGAGAATTTTTCATTTGATGAGGATATAGTACCCTTCCCTATCTCTTTTGATTAGTTTTGATTTGAAGTCTATTTTGTTAGATATTAAAATGGGATTGCTTCTTAGGTCCGTTTGCTTGAAATAATCTTTTCCAACCTTCTACTGTGAGGTAAAAGGTAAAAAGGATTTTACCTTGATGTTGAGGTATGTTTCTTGAATGCAGCAGAAGGATAAATCCTGTTTTCACAACCATTCTGTTAATCTGCATTTTTTTTTATTTGGGGAACTGATACCATTGACAATTATAGAGATCAATGATCAGTGATTGTTGATTCATTATTTTTGTTGGTTTTGGTGGTGGTGGTGTGTGTGTGTGTGTGTGTGTGTGTGTGTGTGTGTGTGTGTTGTCTAGCCAGAGTAAGATTATTTATTTCCTGTGTTTCCAGAATATAGTTAGCTTCCTTAGGTTGGAATTTTTCCTCTAGAACCTTCTGTAGGGCTGGAGTTGTAGATAGATATTGTTTAAATTTGACTTTATCATAAAGTATCTTATTTTCTCCTTGTATTGTGAATGAAAGTTTTGCTGGGTTCAGTAGTCTGAGCTCGCATCTGTGGCTTTTAGACAGCACATCTGTCCAAGCCCTTCTGGCTTTTAGAGTCTCCATTGAGGAGTCAAGTATAATTCTTATAAACCTTTTCCCCTGCAGCTTTTAATATTCTTTATTTGTTCTGTATGTTTAGTGTTTTGATTATTATGTGGCAAGAAAATTTGATTTTCTGGTCCAATCTATTTGGTGTTCTGTATGCTTCTTATACCTTTGTAGGCATCTCCTTCTTTAGGTTAGGAAAAAATTTTTTCCATGATTTTGTTGAAAATATTTTTTGGTCATATGATCTGGGATTATTCTCCCTTTCTCTATTCCTATTACTCTTAGTTCACTCTTTTCATAGTGTCCTAGATTTCCTGGATGTTTTGTGTCAGGAATTTTTTTAGATTTAACATTTTCTTTGACCAATGTATCTCAATGTCTGAGATTCTTTCTTCCATCTCTTGTATTTTATTGGTGAAGCTTGCCTCTGTAGTTCCTGCTCAAATTACTAAATTTTTCACTTCCAGAATTCCCTCAGTTTGATTTTTTTTTATTGCTTCAATTTCCATTTTCAGGTATATAACAGTTTTATTCATTTCCTTCAACTGTTTGTATTTTCTTGGTTTTCTTTAAGAGATTTATTCTTTTTCTCCACTTGTTTGTTTGTGTTTTCCTGGATTTCTATAAGAGATTTACACATTTTATCTTTAAGGTCCTTTATCATGTCATATAGTTTAAATTTTTTTTTCTCATGCTTCAGCTCTGAGAATTTATGCCACAGAGTTATATTCATAAATCACACCAGGTGACAGATTCCACGTGGGAGGTTTTATTAGGGGAGGAGGAGAGGTTACAGAGATAGTCTCTGGGAGAGAGGAGAGGGGTAAGTCCTCGTAGAAGGTGACCCAGCGCATGCGCAGGATGAACAGGTGCGTGTGTGGCGATGTGGTGAAGGGTCCTGTTACCGCTGAATTTCTGGAGGTAGCCACAGAGATGCCTGATGTCCCACTTGTCAGGTCCCCATAGAGATGCCTGTTTACCAGTTCCAACACCAGCTGCGTTGGACCATTCAGGGCTTGTGGTGGGATGACTGAGCTCATGGACTTGCCCTGGCTATTACTAATTGTGTTCTTATGCTGGCGTCCAGATGGGTTGAGGATAGTTGTAGACCTCCATGACGATTTGTGAGTTTGCTTCTGTTGGGTGGGTGTTTCCACGTTTGGGTTCTCTTTCCTCTTTGGGTTTTTGGAGAGTGCGATGGCTGTGTGTTGCCTGTTTTCCTGGACTTGTCAGCTGCTGTGTTCCCAGGAAATGCCTGCTGGTGTTGGAGGCTGGGCTGCAGTCATGCGTGGGGTGGTGGGAGGCTAGGAGGGGATGGTCTGTGGGGTCCATGAAGGATGTGGGCAGGGGAAAGGGAGGCTGCAGCTGGCGTTCTGTTGCAGTGCTAGGGACCAGACTATGCCTTCAGCCTTTTGTAAATATTTGTGTACACATTTTTATTAAAACATACTTTCCATTGCTTTGGGTCTGCTCTGCGGAATGGAGATGCTAGGTCCTACGTCAATCTGACCTTTAATTTACTGAAGAGCTGCCAAACTATTGCCCACAATGGCTGCAGCACAATGCTGCCACGCATAGATGGGGGCCCCGATTCCCCTACGTCCCCTCTAAGACTTGTGTTGTCTGTTTTGTGTTTTGCTTTTTACTAGATGAAATTGTATTTGTTGTGTACAACATGGTCCGATGTCATTGTAGAATGACTAAATCCAGCTAATTGTGTTGTCCCCCAAAGTTATCCCTTTGTAGTGAGAACTCTTCAGCAGTGTTTCAGCAGCTGTGTTAGTCAGAGTTCTCTAGAGTAGCAGAACTTACAGAATGAATGTATAGATAGAAAGAAAGGGGGTCTATTAGAATGGCTTACAGGCTGTGGCCCAGCTAATCCAACAATGGCTGCTTATGAACAGAAGGTCCAAGAATCCGGTGGTTGTTCAGTCCAGGAGGCTGGATGTCTCAGCTGCTCTTCAGTATATTCTGCCATCCTGAAGAAGTAGGCTCTAATGCCGGTGAAGAAATGGACTCCCTAGTGAGGCCAGAGCAAGCACGGGAAGAGCAAAAGCTCCTTTCTTCTGTATCCTTGCATAGGCTTCCAGCAGAAGGTGTGGCCCAGATTAGAGGTATGCCTTCCCAGCTGGACTGAAGGCGTGTCCTCTTACCCCAGAGACTCAGACGAGCAGTACATTTTCCCACTTCAAATTAAACAGCAGGCTTCAAAACCTCCATATGTGGCTAACTGTGGTCTCCATGCAGTATAATAGACCTCTAGGCTTGTTATTCCCACCCGACTAATCATTGTAGTTTGTGAACAAGTACTCTCCTCCCTTTGTTTCTTAGGATGTTTTCCCTTTTTGTTTATTATTTATTACAATGTATTCACTCTGTATCCTGTCTGTGGCCCCCTCCCTCCTCTCCTCCCAATCCCACCCTCCCTCCCTCTTCTTCCCTATGCTCCTCCCCCAGTCCCCTGATAGGGGAGGTCCTCCTCCCCTCTTACTTGACCCTAGCCTTTCAGGTCTAATCAGGACTTGCGTACAAAATATAAGAGGTTAATCAGAAAAGTTTGTGAAATTGATTTTTGTTTTGTTTTGTTTTTAAGACAGCTTTGGCTGTCCTAGACTTTGTAGACCAGGCTGGGCTTGGACTCACAGCTATACATCTGCCTCTGCCTCCCCAAGTGCTGGGGTTAATGGCGTGCACCACCACACCTGGCTTAATGGTTTATTAATTTATGCACATTTCCTGCACAACAGAAGAGAGAATCAGATTTCATTATAACTGGTTGTGAGCCACCACGGTGGGTGCTGAGAATTGAACTCAGGACCGCTGGAAGAACAGTCAGTGCTCTTATTAGCCATCTCTGCAGCTCCGTGAAACTTATTATTATTATTTTTTTAATAGAAAAGCTAAGGCCACACACTGATCCCAGAGACCTTAATTATGAATTATGCAAAGGAATTATAAATGAATTATGTAGCAATCTCCAGCTTAAGCACCTCTGAGTTCAGTGGGGAAATGTTTATGCAAATGCATGAGGAATGACCTTACAACTACACTGTGTTTTGTTTTTGTAGATATACTAGGACTGAATGTCAACGCCGAGATTTTTCTTATGTGATTGACAAGTAAGAAATATTTTCAACATAAGCATATTAATGTGCAGACAGTAGTTTATAATTAGCTAGTACTTAGTGGTTGTGATATTATTGGCATGCATACTTAACTTGACAATTCCCAAACTTAAAAAAAAAAAAAGCTAGGTATATGATCCATCATTGTTGTTGTTTTTTTTTTAATTTGAAGACCACATCTTTTAAAAAATATTTTATTTATTATTTATACAGTATTCTGCCTGCATGAATATCTGCATGCCAGAAGAGGGCACCAGATCTCGTTATAGATGGCTGTGAGCCACCATCTGGATGCTGGGAATTGAACTAAGGACCTTTGGAAGAACAGCGAGTGTTCTTAACGTCTGAGCCATCTCTCCTAACCCTGTGACCCATCTTAAATACAATGAGACTAGGAAAGGAAACAAGAGAAACTTGCAGACAAGCTAAACTGACATACTCAGTGGAAAACAGCAAAGACATCCTGTCTCAAGCAATGTGGAAAGTTGACCTTTGACCCCCATGTGCATGCAAGACATACATATGACGTATTCATACAAATGTATACCTACAAACACACACATACGCAAACACTACCTACATAAACTATGCTTTTGGTTTTTAATTTGGAAAGGAGGAAGAATAAGCAGATAATGATGAATGTCTTTTCTTTTTAAACAGGGAATTTCTGAGAGAGAGACCATCTGAAAATTTGGTAAGAAAAGTATAAATCTGTCAGTGTGATAAATGGACTCAACAACTAAAGCATTTTTCTCTTTCTAGAAAATAAGGTATGACGTGGGAAGATATGGCTGCCCTCAGAGACTCGAATTCAATGAGCCATTTCACCCTGTATTAGAGCTGTAAGTTTATACCCACTTAGGAAATTAGTGTGCTAGAGAAATGGCTCAGAGTGCATTCTGCTTTTACAGGAAATCTGAGTTCAGTTCCCCACACCCACACAGTGGCTCACAACCACCTATAACTCCAGGTCCAAGAGATCCAATGCCCTATTCTGGCCTCCCTGGACTTAGAGGATGACTTGGGCTGAGAAGACCTTGGTTCGTCCCAGGTGAAGAGGGCAGTAGTGGTGGCTTGGTACCCCCACTTTATTTTGTTACCAGAGATCTCCTGCTGGGGTCCAGAAGACTTCTGCCAGCGTGCTTCGCCACGTGCCTTCTCCCTCCCAACCCCCACCCCACCGCTAAGGCTCTCCCCTGTGCTCTCCTGCCTGTGTCATGAAGCTACCCTCACCCATCAGAATCCATGGTGCTGTGGCCCAAAGCTCCCCAGTGTTCACCATCTAGTTCTCCTGGGCTCCGGGGCTCTTCTTCCCCTACGGAGACCTGGTTACGTGCTGTTTGTTTCCTTGTTTTATTTGTATTTATTGGTTTTTCGAGACAGGGTTTCTCTGTGTAGCCTTGGCTGCCCTGGACTCCCTTTGTAGACCAGGCAGGCCTCGAACTCACGGAGATCCACCTGCCTCTACCTCCTGAGTGCTGGGATTCCAAGCGTTGTTGCCAGCCGCGCCTGGCTGTTTCCTTGTTTTAAAATGCTTTTTTTTTTCCTCCAGGAAAGATAAACAAATGATCAGTATTCAGGTGGCATGTTCTCTCCCGTTAAAGCACGCTCTTCAGTTTGGCTCACCAGCACTCAGTGCTCACTCCCCACCATCTACCACAGCAGACACTCACCCCAAGCACTGCACCAAGGACTAGGGACTCGAGGATTAAGGACAGGACCCTCAAAAGGTGAGCCAAAGAAATACAAGAGCTGACATGCCAAGTCGAGTTCTAGAAGAGAACGAAGCAGGTAGTAGGTATCAAAGCTCAAAAGGAAAGAGTCCAGCCCAGCTGTGACAGGTGATGGGCTCTGGGACACGTTCTGGAAGTGAGGACTGCATCCCTGAAGGATAACGGACACTCGGCTGGACCCAGAGGGAAGGCGACAAGGGGAAGGGTGTCGGTGAATTCCACTGGGTGAGCCTCTCAAGCGAGAGTGGAACCTTGAGGAAGAAAACGTATAGACACCCAGTGTTGGAGCATAAGCCAAGTGAAGAAGCGTCAGCAGAGGGGGCTGGAAGCTGTCCCGGAAGTCCAGACCATGCCCAGCTTTTGTTTCCCTCTTTTACAGCAGTCATGTGACTGGGCGTTTGCTTTAGCTGCATCTCGCATCTCTTGGAATCTTGGGGAAAGAAGTCAAAGTAGGGAGACCCGTTAGCAAAATTGTGTCCAGGAGGTGGGGGATGATTGAAAAGGTAACATGGACCAAGGAGTTTATCTGCGATACAAACCAGTTACTCTAACCAGAACAAGCTGACAATTGCTATGAGTGGTAAGGAAGAGGCTGAAGGTGAATGAGTCGAAGGCGACATCGAACAAATGTCCGCAATGCACCTATATATGTTAAGCATTTATGCCATGAACACATCCGTCTCGGGGTTTATCGCTGTGATGCAACCTGCAAAGGAAAAGGGCTGCTTCAGCGGATGCTTAGTCCAATGTCCAGAGACGTGAGGCCAGGAACTTAAGCAGGGCAGGAACCCGGAGGCAGGAGCTAACGCAGAGGCCATGGAGGGGTGCTGCTTACTGGCTCACTCCCCATGATTTGCTCAGCCTGCCTTCTTATAGAACCCAGGACCATCTGTCCAGGGGTGGCATGACCACAGTGGGCTGGGCCATCCTACACCGATTACCAATCAAGAAAATGTTCCATAGGCTTGCCCACAAACCAGTCTGGTGGCTGGGTTTTCCCAGTTGAGGCTCCCTCTCTTCAAATGAACTTTGTTTGTATTAGTTTGATATATTAGAGAGAGAGAGAGAGAGAGAGAGAGAGAGAGAACTAGCCAGCACAACATAGATGAGCTGTCTGCCTGAAGCCTGTCTCTCCACTTAGGCTGACACCCCCTTTCCTAATTGATAAACATGGTACCTGCATGTTCTCTTCCTCCCAGATCATCTCTCCCCTCTCTTGAGAAAACACACAGAATCCATGAATATAACAGGGGGCATATTAGGCTCGTCTTCACACTGGCGAGGTGAGAACCCAGAGGCTGCACAGTGCAGGAGAGTGAATGCCTCAGTGTCCCAGTCTAGCACCGAAGGCATGGAGGATTCCCGGAAAGCCACCCAAGAAGCGAAGGAAGGCAGAGACAGCTCTCTAGTAGAGCAGGCCAGGCCAGTGAACACAAGACCAAGACACAAAGGCAGAGGTGAAGAGTAAACGCTTTCGCCTTGGACCTCCTTAAACCTGGGCCGCTGCTTGCTTGGAGATGAACCTCAGCTAATCTAAATCCCTCACAGGTATCCCCAGAGGCTTGCCTCATGGGTGACTCTAGACTTAGCCAAGGACAAACCAATGTCAGCCATCACACCGTGCCAGCCAGATGATCATGCAAATGTGCATTCACCAAACAAAAAGGCACAACAAAAGGGCACAACAAAAGGGCACACTCTTGCTGGAGACTGCAGCTACTGTGTACACTCCCGGCTCTTGTTCTCTCCCAACGCCACTCTGCCCAGCTTTTATGCTCCCCTAAGCACGGATAATAAAAGACATAGTTAATATAATGGATCACCCACAGTTTTGAATATGAAGATCAGTAATGAGGGCTCTTTGATTCCCAGAGAAAGATTTCCATAGGAAAAAAAAATATATATATATACCAACTGTTGGGAAGTTGGCTGCAAATTAGTGACACTCCTGCAATTTCAGGTTTAATTAAAATTCTATTCCACACTAATGAAAATTTATTAAAGATAAGCAAGCATTTGTAAGCAAGTCTCTCTGTCACATATTCACAATGAAGCAAAAACCAAAAATGATGAAGTATGCAACACATGCTTTGTCCACAAGATGGCACTGTAGTTCTTTGTACTAACTGTCCTGGTGCCACTGAGGATTTTTTTTTTTTTCATTTTACAATTTATTCACTTTATATCCTGATTGTAGCCCCCTCCCTCATCTCCTCTCAGTCCTACCCTCCCTCCCTCATCCCCCTTATCCCCTTCACCTAGTACACTGAAAGGGGGAGTCCCCCTCCCCTCCATCTGACCCTAGCTTATCAAATCTCATCAGGACTGGCTGCATCATCTTCCTCTGTGGCCTGGCAAGGCTGCACACCCCAGGGAGAGGTGATCAGAGAGCCAACCACTGAGTTCATGGCAGAGAATGTCTCTGCTCGCCTTTCTTGGGACCCCACTTGGAGACTGAGTCTATGGGCTACATTTGAGCTGGGGTTTTAGGTCCTCTCCTTGCATTGTCCTTGGTTGGGGTATCATTCTCTTCAGGGCTCAGTTTTTATGGTTCTGTTGCTCTCCTTGTGGAGCTCCTAGCCCCTCCATGTCCTATCCCCCTTCTTCCATGAGATTCTCTGTACTCTGCCCAAAGTTTGGCTATGAGTCTCGGCATCTGCTTCCATCCCCTGCTGAGTGGAGTCTTTCAGAGGACATCTATGGTAGGCTCCTGTCCTGTTCCCTCTCTTCTGCCGCTTCCTTCTGTGTCTATCCTGTTTGACGTTCTGAATGAGATTTAAGCATCCTCTCTAGGGTCCTCCTTGTTGTTTAGGTTCTTTAGGTCTGTGGATCTAGTATGGTTATCCTGTGTTATATGGCTAATATCCACTTACAAGTGAGTCTATACCATGTGTGTCCTTCTGCTTCTGGGATACCTCACTCAGGATGATCTTCTCTAGTTCCCACCATTTGCCTGCGAATTTGATGATTTCCTTGTTTTTAATAGCTGGGTAGTATTCCCTTGGGTAAGTGTACCACAATTTTTGTATCCATTCCTCGACTGAGGGACATCTGGGTTGTTTCCAGTTCTATTACAAATAAAGCTTCTGAACATGGTTGAGCAAATGTCCTTGTTGTGTACTTGAGCATCTTTTGGATATATGCCTAGGAGTAGTATAGCTGGGTCTTGAGGTAGCACTATCCCCAGTTTTCTGAGAAAGCACCAGATTGATTTCCAAAATGATTATACAAGTTTGCACTCCCACCAGCAATGGAGGGGTGTTCCCCTTTTCCCACATGCTTGCCAGCAGGTGCTGTTCCTTGAGTTTTTGATTTTAGCCATTCTGATGGGTGTGAGGTGAAATCTCAAGGGTCGTTTTGATTTGCATCTCCCTGATGACCAAGGATGTTGAGCATCTCTTTAAGTGTTTTGTTCTTAAGCGTTTACTCCTTTAAAAAAATAAAATCAAATCATGTCTTTTGTGGGGAGCGGGAGGGGGTCTCAGACCACGTTCAGAGGCAGTCTCCTTCCACTTGGGGGTTCCAGGAATCAAACTCGGGTCATCGGGCTCTGCAGCAGGTGCCTTGACCTACACGTTGGTTACATCTCATGGACTCCTAATTCCTAGGAAGTGAATTCTCCCACTCACACAAGATGTAATTAAACTCCTGCTTCCCCCAAAGCTGCTAGCTCTTGAGCTTCGCTCCTCTTCACATTTCCTGTGGCGCAGGGCCAGAAGCACTCATGTTTGAGTTAGTTTCTTTTCTCTCTCTCTCTCTCTCTCTCTCTCTCTCTCTCTTTCTCTCTCTCTTTTAATTTTTGGTTTTCCTCCCTAGCCCTGACACCAAGCTACTCCTCTCCATGGAGCCTGTCTGAGAACTAAGCTTCTGAGCTCTTCATGCTTTCTCAAAGCCAGTAAACACAGAAACGAAATGGCTTCCCAGGAACTGCTTCTTAACCCCAAAGCTTTTCTCTGAAGACACAGCTTTTACCCGACAACACAGCCTAGCCAGTGTTGGGTAGCAGCGAACCCCAGGTCGGGTTCAATAGTTTTGATGTAAAGCAGCGATCTGGGCAAGGAAGAGAGAGACTGTCGAGGCTGTAGTATTTTTTTGTAAATCAACACAGAGCTGACAAGCGATAAACTGTATTTTAATGGTGAAAGACTCGGGAGCCTAGAAAAGCAAGAACTAAACACTAGAACCTGAGTCTCCAGGGAACTTCCCACCAGTGTTGGAAATCTGTAATCCCGGCAGTTGGGAGGCAGAGGCCTCAGGAGTTTGAGGCCAGCCAGCCTGAGCTATGAGACTGTGTCCAAAAAAGAGATAGTTGGGGGAAGAGGGGACAGGGAGCGATAGTTGGAGGAGGAGGAAGCTTCCTGATGGCAGCTGCAGCCCCCCCTTCACCCTGGTAACCCCACGGATTCACTCCACCACACCCCACCTGGTTTAATCGACACCAGGAGATCCTTGTCTTGTCCTTCTGTCCATCTCATTCTTTCTCCCAAGTCCCAGGGACCCCATCCATCCCCGTCCCATCGGTATGCGGTCATGGAGAAAATTTGTGGCTCTGATTTTTCTTCCTCCTCATGTTAGGTTTTCATTTGCATAACAAGTGCTGTCTGGGGCCGGTGGTGCACACCCGTGGTCCCAGCGCTCGGGAGGGGGGAAAGTAGACACAGCCATTCGATACGAGTGTATCACAGATAAATATTCGTAAGAGTCGGAGTGTGCGATAAAGACAAGATCTGACCGATGCGAAGAGTGAATTCTTGTGATTCACCTTTGGGAAGTGGGAGTAGAAAACCAGGAGCTCACCACCCAGTGAGCTCACCTGGGCTGTCTGAGACTCCCTCAAGAAACCAGTAAACAAAAAGGACCTAAACCTAAGCCCGTGTGACCCGCAAGCTGCAGGACCCCCGCTTGACACTAACGTATTATTTTTGTGTTTGTTGTTTCAGGCATGATGAAAGTGGCTTTGTTAAAATCGTCGAAGCAAACTTTATCCTGTGGGAAATCCACGGCAGGAATGACTACAGCTTTAACAATACTATGAAGCAGGTATGTCTGCGAGTTTAAACAGAATTTAGCATACAAGTAAACTTTACTTTTCTTTTCAATTTGTATGCAAGTTATCTAAGGGACAAGAGAGCAAGCCATAGTAGAAAAGAAAGCCAACTCTATTTTAAGGCCTACGATGGGCTGGAGAGATGGTTCAGTGGTTAAGAGCACTACCTACCCTTCCTAAAGGACCAGGGTTCAATTCCCGGTAGCCACAAGGCAGCTCACAACTGTCTGTCACTCCAGTTCCAGGTGTTCTGACTCCCTCATACCAATGCACATAAAAAAAGTTTAAATAAAATTATTAAAGCCAATGACTACTGAGATGCATCTCTTTAAAAAAAAAAAAAAAAAAAAAGCTATAAGAAAGGCCAGAAAAAATAAAATAATGCAATAGCAGGATGATGCAATCATGAGTATTTTCTTTTCTATCTGAACTGTGTTTAATGTTTAATTGTTTATGGGTCTGACTTTGGCTTTAAGACATTGGTGCCGAGTCAAATGGGCACCCATTAGGTTCATCTTTCTCCTTTTGACTCTACTGACCACGGCATAAGTATCTCTGTACTCATTCTCTTCCCTCCTCCAAGACCTGCTGACTTCAGCCTCCTGGATCGCCCCCCATAGTCTGCCTTTTGCAATCACTCTTTCCACCCACTGTGGGCTTTTATGTCTTGAAGCCTTCCCAGGAATATAGAGCCTTCTAGAAGTTAACATCAGGATTTCCTAAGATTCTCTGGAGATCTCGGGCTCAGACCTAACATGCTGTGCAGGCAGTAACTCAAAACTGATCTGTGGTCTAAGACCCCAACCTAAAAAATTCTTAGAAGAAAATGTAGGGTAAAAATAATCCCAATCTTGTTTTGGGTGATGATTTATCAGCTCTGATATCAAGTCACAGATGAGAGAATGAGAAAGGAAGAAAAAATAAGAGGGGGAGGAAGAAGGGAGAAAAGAGGGAAAAGGAAAGGAATGGGAGAGAGAGGGAGATGAGAAGGGAGAGAGAAAAAGAATGGGATAGTTGTTAGGACCAAATAAAACGCTGATGCACACAGCAGATTTTATATAAAAGAGGTTTATTAGATGAAGATGAAGAGAGAGAGAGAAGGAGAGAGTGAGACATGATAGGGGAAAGAGAAAGGGGGTTGTCCTGACAGAGAAAGGGGAGAGGGCAAGAGCTGAGAGAGAGGAAAGAGAGAGAGAGACAAAGTGGCAGGTTGGTCCTTTTAAGGAACAATGTAACCACGCCTGCCAGGTGTGGCTACCTGGCAGGTGACACATGATGACATCATAGGTTGCTAGGCAACCCAGAAGAAGACTGCCTAAATACTAACAACAACAACAACAGTAAGGAAAGGGAAGGGAAGGGATAGAAAAAGTGGGCATCATCTAAAATCTAAGAACTGTGTGCATCGAAAGACACCAGAATTGGTGCCTAGTCCAATTGTCATCATAGAGGCTTTATACAGCAACCAATGGAAGAGAAGGAAGGACTATAGGAGGCAGAGGGGTCAAGGCACTAACCCACAGAATCAACTCACCTGGGCTCATAGGAGCTCACAGAGACAGACCTGACAACCAGGAGCCTACCCAGGACTGACCTAGGCCCTCTGCATATATGTTCCAGTTTTGTACCTTGGTCTTCCTGTGGGACTCCTAACAGTGAGAGCAGGGGATACCTTAACCCTTTTGATGGTTTTTGTGACCTTTTCCCCCTACTGGGTCGCCTCTTCCAGCCTTAATACAAGGGGAGGTGCCTAGTCTGACTGCAACTTGATGCGCCATGTTTAATTGATACCCATGGGAGGCCTGCCCTTTTCTGAAGAGAAATGGAGGAGGAGTTGGTGGGGAGGGCAGAGGGGATGTGGAGGGAGAAACTGGGAGGAGAGGAGAGAAGGGAAATTGCAGTCAAGATATTAAAAAAAAATTCAAGACAAGAATAAAAAGACAACATATGTAATGGATCAAAGTATTTGCAGATCATGTATTTGATAGGACAATGTCCAGAATGTCCAGAAAACATCATAACTTAACAACAAAACAACCCAAATTAAAGGGGGGGGGCTTGAAGAGACATTTCTCCAAAGAAAATGTAAAAACGTCTGGTTGACCTTTGGGAGCATTGAGGAAACCCAAGTTAAATCTACAGTGAGACACTATTTCACATAAACTAGCATGGCAAGACTAAAGACAAACAGTAGTAAGTCTTAGTGAAGGAGGAGAAATGAGGACAGGCACATTGTGGGGGCATAATGGGCACCTCCACCCTGGGAAACGGTAGCACAATTGCCAGGTCTCATCATCCATGCCTGTACGCTCAAAAGAGTGGAAAGAAAGGATTTGCATGCCATGTCTCTGCCATGTCCACAGCGCTGCCTACAGAGCCCAGGCTGTAAGGAAAGGGAGAGAGTGGTCCCGTTTAAAAGCCGCCGAGACTGTACTGTGCAGGGATACACTTTCTGTTGAGAATACTGGGAAGAAAGGTGAGGAACAAAGCCTAGAAAAGCCAGGACAGCAACTGTTTAGGTGAATGGGAGACCCTCAGAGAAGCCTGGACGGCCCCCAGAAACATTACAGCTTGTTTTTAAAATCAACTTGTTGTTACTGTGTTTGTTTTGGCATCTGTTTTTTGTTTTGTTTTCCGTAGTTAAAAAAGGGTTTAAAATAAAAGGAATGGATTTGTGCCATGGAAAAGAGTCTGGTAATTCTTCATAAACGTCTCATACGATCCAGCAATTCTTGTTCACAAGACAGCTCAACAGGTGAAGGAACTACCATAAAGCCTAACGACCTGAGTTCACTCCCCTAGGACCCACATGGTAGAAGGAAGAGACCCCCAACTTGCCTGTCCTCTGGCATCTGCTATGGACACACACACACACACACACACACACACACACACACACACACTAGCTGTAGAAAGGAAATTCTCACACTTGCTACACTATGGATGGCCGGTGGAGATGTTGTGCTAAATAAAAGCAAGCTGTTTTGCAGAACTAATTCATTTGTAAACTTTAGTTAGAAAAAAAAAAAAAATCTCAGTAGAAAGTAGAACACTGGTCGCCGGGGGCTGTGGGGAGGCAGGGGAAAGGATTTGCTCAGTGATGGCGGTGAGTTGTGCTTACACAGTCGGAATGAAACTGCTACCACTGGATTGAACACTTCAATGTTTAAAACTGTGTTGTGCTGAAGTAGTGAAAAAAAACTGCACTGTATTTAAATGAAAGCTTTTTTTTTTTTTAAGATAAACTTTTCGGTGCCATCAAGCTATATTAGATACTCCAAGATAAGCTAATGCAAGGCCTCCTCCCTAACCGTGCGTTACCATCTTTCGGCAGAGTGGTTGTATAAATGTAGCCCAGACGTGGAAGTCAATGATAGAGGAAAACCCAGGCAAGCCCCTGGAAGACATCTGGGGGCCTCAGGTAAGAAAAAGAAAAAGCATGCAGAAGCCGTGAGCAGCTGGTGGTTAACAATCATGGAACTTGCCTGAACCAGCATGAAATGGTCCAGTGGTGCCCGAGCTTCAGAGGGCACCGGGAATGATCCTCTGAGGGGCCTGTGGAAACAGAGATAGCTTGGTCTCACCTGAGTGTCTGATTCAGTAGATATGAGGTAGGGTCTAAGATTTTTGCCCAACCCTCTTCTCCCTTTCCCTCCTATCTACACCACTCTACCCCCACCCCTCCCCTTCCCTCCCTTCCCCTCCCCAGTACTGGAGATTGAACCCAGGACCAATGCAAGTGTCTGAGTGACAATCCAGCCCTGAGCATGCGTTTCTAAAAGTCCCCAGGTGAGGCTGACATTGCTGATCTTGGGACTACACCTGGGAAACCACAGAAATGGTTGACAACCAGCCAAGCTGGGGTTTCTGCTTCTAAGCAAGCCCTGGGGGAAAAGGCTGTTCTCAGCGAATCGTGTCACACCCCAGTGACCCGCAGTGAAACAGGAAGCGTCCAATTTTCAGGGCTGCGCCTATGCTGCCCAGCCTCCCTACTCCTACTTGCCTCTGAGAAGCAGCTCTAGGGACTCTTAAGTTCTCAGAGGAAAAAAATGTCTGAAGGGCTCACAAGCAAAAGTGGCAATTTTTTAGGTTCTTTGACTTCTCGACAGCATGGGCAGTGCCCAGCTGGCTACTTTTCTGTGATACGGGACTGGGTTGGAGTCCCCAGACATGACCAGGGGTCCTGGACAGAGCAGTCCTTGGCTAGAAATGGAGTGAATTCGTGAGTCTAGGGGAGATTTGTTTTCTTGAAGACTAGGTAGCTTAACCAAGTGATGGCTTACAAGTGAAAGAGAAGGGGGAAGATAATAGATGAACGAAGACATGATAGGAAACTTCAAATGTGGCACAGAAAGAAGAGCAGCCACTGGCACGTATTATCCTTCATAGTAAGAAACAACAGAGGAGGAAATGAGGACGAATAAGAAATATTTCCATGTCTCTATGTAACAATGCACACTTTGATACAGATAAGAAAGTTCTGAAGACCAGGGCCCTTCTGTGATGGTGGGAAGAGATCCATTTCCGTTGCAGAGTGCAAATGTCTCATATTCTTATAATCAAGTTCATAGCTTTGTATTAATCAACTCAGCAGACAAGAACTCTCATAGTCCAGAATATATTTTGTATTTTCTTTTTCGGGGAGGGGTGTCTCTCTACATAGCCCTGGCTATCTTAGAACCCACTAGATAGACCAGGCTGACCTCAAACTCAGAGATACATCTGCCTCTGCCTCCCAAGTGCTGGGATTAAAGCACGTGACACCACACCCAGCATGTTTTGCATTTTAAGTTAGTTTACATCAAAAACCATAAACCTTGTATTTGTTCTTCACCCATATATGCTCCACATATTAGTTTATAAATGTGCCAGACATGAAGTGGCAGAAAGGTAAACAACGGTGAGAAATGGTGAGACATGGATTCCTACTATTTTCACATTTTGTCATGATGTTATAGTAATACCTCATTAAACACATACGCTTCACATGAAATTATAGCATAACTCACCTCCAACACCTAGTTTATTTAAGATAGATTATACCCATGATAGCACTGGATTAAAAGGCCTCAAAATGTAGGCGCAATAAATAAATCAAGCAATAAATACAATCAGGTAAACCCAGTGCTATAAAGCCAACGGCTATAGACAGAATTTAGCTGTGGTAAGCATCCGTAACACGGAAATAAGAATATGATCCAGGACAGATGGACATGCAAACTCCTAGACCCAAATAAACTTATCAGGTGGTACAGTGGGGGACAGCCATTCCAAATGGATGAAACCCCACCCATTCCTAGAGGAGCCCAGCGGTCTCTCTCCAGTCTTACCCACATGGGGTTAGCCCCACTTGGCGCATGGCTGGGCCGGATCTCTGCCCTGGTACTATAGCTATATCCATGGGCACTGTTCTCAGCCTTAACCCCTTCCAAGAAGCTAGCCCTCCCCTGTGTCCAGGGGGGCTCCTGCTCCCACACTTCTACCTGACATCCGGTCTTTCACCAAGCTAAGGTTGTCTTGCTCTATGTGAGGCATCCCGGAAGAAGTTCCCTCCTCCCCCGACCACAAGTAGGAGATGTGCCAAGCACTCTCTGGTACTGCAGTGGCAGCATAGAAAGGGGTAGCCATTGCCTCTCTTAGTGATTGTCCAAGATAAATGTATGAGAATCTGGGGCTGGAGAGAATGGCCAGTGGGTAGGAACAAGGGCCATTGTGTTCCTACAATGGCTGCTCTTGCAGAGGACCTGGTTTTGGCCCCCAGCATCCGTCCACAAGGCAGCACACAAGCACCTGTTAACGCCAGTTCCTAAGGTTCTGAGGCCCTCTTCTGGCGCGCACAGGTAGCGTGTGGGTGGTACATTTATATGCAGGCAAAAAATACTTATACACATAAAATTAAATAAATCTCACACACGTAAATCAGATTTTGTTAAAGTCAGGAAATAACCCCCTTTTTTTTTCTTTGCTTCTTGCTTAGAACTATAGGACTTGTTTTTCTTATGCTGTTGGGAATCCAGGAGACCTAAATCAACCATATGAGATTTTAAACTATTCTAACAGAAACCATTTACAATGGCCCATGGACCATTCTGGAATGTATGTGTTTCGAGTAAAGATCCTGGATCCAAACTTTAGGTAAGAATAAATGTTTTATGATATTATCCTCTTAGAAGTTTTTTTGTTGTTGTTGTTGTTGTTGTTGTTTTTTTTTTTTGCTTTTTTTTTGGTTTAATTTGATGTCAACTAAATATCTCATTTTTGTTATTTATATGATTGCCTTTTCAGTTTGTAGTAATCATAGCAGACACTCTATAGAAGCAGGAGATCTTCTAGAGAGTGCCAACTGTCAATGGGGTCGCTCAGTTTGAAATTCCATTCTTTGCATTACGTCCCCTTGATACACATATCGGTTACTTTTCCAGTTGACATGGCCAAACACCTGACAAGAAGGACATAAACAGGAAGGACATATTTTGGCTCCAAGTTTGAGGGTAAAAATCTTCCGTGGTAGAAACAGCATAGTGGCAGGAGAGTGAGGCAAGTAGCCAAGAGCTGCAATCCGGAAACACAGCAATGGCCGTTGGCCTCAGGCCTCTTTCCCCTCGGACCCCCAGCCCATGCAGCTGGGCCAGCAAGACTGGATGTGGGTCTTCCTCAGTCAGGCGTTTCTGAGAACACTCTTCTAGATAGTCCCAGAGGTGCGTTTCCATGGTGATTCCAAGTCCAGGTGACAACGAAGATGAACCATCACTCCCAGCATGTGCACGACCCTGGGTTTCATCCTAGCATCATAAGAAAACAGAGCAAATAGAAGACCATGAGCCCACATACTCATGGCCTTGGGAGACGGAATCATACAAACTAACAAAATGTATGTTAATAAGGAGATTAGACTCGTGTCATCATGCTAGGGACCACCTGCTGCTTCAAGGGTGAAGTGATCTCGGAGAAAAGGAATATGTGTGGAAACAGCAAGTATTGCCTGCATCTTGGAAGGTCATGGGAAACCTGCTGTGAAATGGACGGCGTAACATACCAGTCTGTGTTATGGGTGCTGAGAGCTAAATATCTGGGCACTCAGCACATAGGACCCTTGGCTATGAAAATGGCCATGGACATTTTTAACATATTTTCAATAATTTCACACATGTATACAATGGATTCTGATCATAGTCATCCCTCATTCCTTCCTAGCTCCTTCCAGACCCAAGCCCCCAGCCCCTGCTCTAAAGTCATGCCTTTTTTGTTGTTGTTGTTGTTGTTGTTGTTGTTGTTCTTGAATAGCCCACTGATTCCAGTTTGTGCTAACTATATATTCCTGGGTGTGGTCCATCCACTCAACTATAGTTAACCTACAGGCAGCCATACTATTAGAACATATGAACACAGATGCACACAGAGACATAGTGTGTGTGTGTGTGTGTGTGTGTGTGTGTGTGTGTACATCTACATGAGTTTAATTGGGGCTGCCCAACTCAGGGTACTAGGGTCATTCCAGAAGTCATATGTTATCAAATAAAAAGGCCAGTGCTGTGTGTGAACCACCTCTCCTTGAGTTGTTGGTCAGGGAAGTCCCAGAGAAACCAAGTGACTACAGCCTATTGTCATTGATTTTTGTTGCCCAGTAGAACTGGACAGTTAGACCCTAAAGCTTAGGACACCACACACTTTGGCCACAGGACACAGAGAAATCAGGTTGGTACTGACCAGGAAGCTTCCTCTCTGTCGGGTGACTTTCATATTACCGGAAGGTGCTGCGCAGGCAGCATGTGGGAAACAGTCTAAGCCAACTGTGAGTTCTCTGAGATACAACAGCTCACAAGATACACCCACTGGCGGCAAAATGGTGGCGCGAATGTTTTATGGTCTTCTGTTCCTCCATGTGCCCAACCCTGGTAAGTCCGGAAATAGAAGGTAGAAAAATAAGCTTTGTGATACAAAAGAAAGTGACAGACAGACTGGTAAACAGAAAGATTGGATCAGCCAACCTGTGACTATGAATGTAGAATCCTAGGAGATGAGGAGGAGAATATATATCTGAATTAGTCCTAACTCCAGATGAAAAAGAAAATGAAACTTTTTTTTTTTTAAAGACTTGTAACTACCAATCTACCCGCATTAGACTTGAGCCTGGATTCCAGGTTAGCTGAGTGCTTATTGTACTGTAGCTAAAATTTTAACTTGAAACAGTCCCAGTCTATTTATGCCTCCCACATGCTCAACAGAAACAAGCGAAAATCCCCTCTGGAAGAATTCCCTTTAAATGTAAACACCAAAGAAATCTAGAAGGAAACATTCTAACAAATAAACAAGGCAGAAAAAGAAACCACAGACAAGAACAGACAAGGACAAATAGAAACAACTACCTTCAAAAACAACCCTGGAAGCCTTGCAATTGTTAGGCCTGAGAGATGCAAGATACAAAATATGTATGCTTGTCTCTTGTCAGTGTTCTATTGCTATGAAGAGACACCATGACCACAGCAGCTCTTATAAAGGAAAGCATTTAATTGGGGCTGGCTCACAGTGTCAGAGGTTTAGTCCATTGTCAATCATTACAGTGGGGAGCATGGTGCTGGAGAAGGAGCTGAGAGCTCTCCATCCAGGTTTGCAGGCAGCAAGCAGGAAGAAAGAGTGAGCCTCTGGGCGTGGCGTGGGCTTCTGAGACCTCAAAGCCCACCTCCAGGGACACACCTCCTAATCCTTTCAAATAGTGCCACTCCCCAGGGTCCAAGCATTCCAGTCGATGAGCCTATGGGAGCCATTCTTAGTCAAACCACCACAGCTTGAATTTTATTTTATTTTTTAAAGAAAAAAACTTTAAAGGTGTGGTGAAAGAAAAAAGAAATAATCAGTCTAGCTGTCTACCAAGAGATGGATAAAGAAAATGTGTACATATACACAGTAGAGTTTTATTCAGCCATGAGAGCAAAATTAATATCATTTTCAGAAAAACAAATGGAGCTGATGACCATCATGCTGTCTGAACTAAACCAGACTGAGAAGATAAACAGAATATGTCTTTTTTTCTTGTAGCTAAAATTTAGATCTAAAGAGAGAGAGACATAAAAGTAGAGGTGGGGGTATTTGGGGAGAGGAAGATACCAACTGGGAACAGGGAGGGGGGACAGAGAGAGCAATGTGATGATGACTATGACGGAAGTTCATGATATTCATGATGAAGATTGTCATGCTAAAAAGTATGATATTATACAATAAGTACAAGCTAATAGTTAAAATAAAAACCATAAAGAGACTAAGCGAAGCTGAAGAGAAGATGAGTGGATTAAAATAACCACAACAACAAAATCTATTACAGTCCATATCATCATTTCCTTGTCCCAAACAGCTCAACGTCCAAGGAACAACAAAACTTAACTTCTCTTATGATAACGTAATTATACTTAATTAATAAAAAAAAAAAATACACTTACCCTCTGGAGTGGAACTAATCAGTCTTATCCCATCTAGTGCCAAGTTCAAATTCTCAAAAGAATTTTTGTCCCTCCTTTAGTTGTCATGATCTTGACTTCATATTCTGCACCACCTACCACCGACACACCTAACACGTGTAATATATGAATAGGAGAAATGGAAAAAGGGAAAAGTAAAGGTTAGTCGAAATATAAATAATATAGAAATATAGACACACACTGTAGTTGTTTGTGTGGAACAGGGTCTCTCTACGTAGTCCTGGCTAGGGCAGAGATCTTCCTCTCTCTGTATCCCGAGTGCTGTGGTTAGGCCACCACGCCCGGCGCCCCGTCCCTATGTGCTGTATGGCTGTTTAGCCAGCACCGAATTTTGTATCCTGGTAAAAGATGTTTTTAGTCCTATGGAGTCAAAGCGCTTAACGTGGCCTACGCACATGTGCTCTGGGTTATAAATGAAAAGCTGGGTGACTCCCAATTCTGTCATTCTGGCAGTAGGATTAAAAAACTGCTTACTGGGGCTGGAGAGGTGGCTCGGAGGTTTAGAGCACTGGCTGTTCTTCCAGAGGTCCTGAGTTCAATTCTCAGCAACCACGTGGTGACTCATAACCACCTATAATGTGATCTGGCGCCTTTTTCTGGCCTACAGACACACATGCAGGCACAATACTGTATAAATAGTAAATAAATAAGTATTTTTTAAAAAACCGCTTATCTTGGCACTGGCTTGTAGTATCACATCACTGTAAGAACTCTGCAATTCCCCTGGTAACCTTTTGTTCTGGTCTGATAGCTCTCATTACTATATAACTTATTATCCGAACCAGAAGCTTGAAGAGTAAAATGAAGCTTTATTAGTATTTATACAAGAACAACAGGTAGATACCAAGCATGTCCTGGTGACCAGCAACAAAAGAGTAGTATTAATCTTTTAATACAAAAGATGTCTTGGAAAAATATCTACTTCTCTGGGAGAGCAATGAATTCCATGCATACCAGCTCTTCGCCTTCTAGTTGTATGTTCAGAAGCAGTCTTGTTGGGACAACGTAATAAAAACGCATGGCACTCAGGGTGCCTCTGTCGAGTGCTTCAGGCTAAAGTTAAATGAAAAAGGCAAATTCAAACCCAAGCATGTCACAGGAAGAAGGAACCACTGTCCTCTACGTGATAAAACCAGCCACCGCCAGGTAGCTGTCCAGTGCCTCTGGATGAAGGCACCTGCAGGCTGATTCAGACGGGCGGCGGCTGCTGCTGCTGCCGCTGCTGCTGCTGCTGCTGCTAAACTCAGTGCTTGGTAGTGGCAGTATCCCAGTGGGCCTGGATAAAAGAAAATGCAGGCTCTGGAAGCCACCCCAAGCAACATGGCCGTGCTACTCATGACCCTATGCATAAGCACTTGGATAGCTGGGGAAAGGTGCTACAGGGCAGTCACAGACAAAGGAAGAGCCCCTTCTCTGGTGATAAACTAGTCACATGATACCCAAACGTTTGAATAATCCAGAATCTTATTGAGGGCTCCTACACAGGCTCCCCTTAAATTTCTTCTCATCCGTTTTTATTTCTTGCAAATCGGCCCTTATGTATCTCACATTCAGTTCCTGTCCACAATTATGGCCTTGGCCAACATCCTCCAGGAACAATGAGGAAACCATCTACATGAAACATTGTACAATGGGAGGCCTGTTCTTGTTTTCCCCTGAACGCACAGTGATCTGCAAAGCTCTTTCCTGTTTTTTCTTTACACTCAGTGGAGCCATGAAGGCCTCCCAGCGTCTGAGCAAATGGGAGCTATCAACTGTTCAATGCATGTGAGGCCATCTTTATGCAAATCACTTGCACTTCAGGACAGAAAGATCACATCTGGCTTAGATGTTAGACATAACGCATGTGTAATAATAACCAGCCAAGGTCCCATGGTCACTCGGTGCTATGGGATCAGGTCAGGAGAGCCAACCATCAGCACTATTTGAATCACCTGAAGCATGCAGGAAAGCTCTCTCTTCCCTGAGTTCCAGGGCATATATATGCATATATGTATATTTATATATATGCATATATATTTATATGCATATTATATCTTACATGTGCGTGTATGCATATATGTAAATGCAACCACATTTGGATGGACTTTTCTAACTATGGATAATATATAACATATACTTTATATATATTTAGAGAAATATATATATTTTAGAAGAGGCATCCAGTTGTGGTATATGTTATCTCCAAAATCCAAAGTGGATAAAAATAAAGCAATAGCAGAACGATAAAACAAGATGATCCTTTTATCTGGACATGCTCTGAGGGAACAAGGACTTGTCCTTCATCCTCAAAGGCCTATCATGTGCCCCCACCCCCGTGTGTGGAATTTATCTCTCTTATGTTACCCAGGTATCACCACCTGAATTTACACCTTACGTCACCACTATAAGGGATCAAGATCATGTCCCACGGGGTACTGTCCAAGACCAAGCTCTCTGACAGGCAGTTCGTAGAGTGGAGGTAGTCCTAGGGGACAAACCGTTCTGTTTCTCTCTGCCTATGAGGCTGGTGGAACACTGAGGAGAGAAATGTTTTTGTCAAATGAATGGCTGCTTACTGGCTATGTGTCTATGATTACACAACCCAGGGAAGAGCCTCTGCTGAGCTCATGAAAATCTCACCGGCGCCCCAGATTCTCCAATCTTCTGAGGAGTTCCCCAGATGACCTGGGGAGAGAGAGGCAGTTAGCGGTTTGCAGCTCAGCTTCCCCAGGAAGCAGACGTAGGTTTCCTCAGAGGTGGTCTGAAGATCGCCAGCTTTAGAGAGGGTGAAGGAAGTAAAACTGGGGAAGGGGAGGAAGCAGGAAGTAAAACTGCAGCTCCAGGGAGGCCTTCAGTTGATTCCACAGGGAGCGCTGGGCCGGGGGTGCCTGGCAGAGCTGTTCTGAAAAGGGGCAAGGTCTTTGTACCTCTGAATCACTAGCCTCTGGGATAGACTTCCTCCAAAAAGGGGTGTGACTTTGGCAGAAAAGTCCTGGCAGACATTGGCTCCCTTCTGAGGAGGAAACAAACCTAAAAGTCGATCTCCATGACACGAGCTTGGCAGTGTCTCCACTGCGCTCACGTTCTATGAGGGCCCTACTCCAGGTATGCCTCGTTGATTTTATTCATGTATCTTCATTTGCTTACTTATCTGCAATTCTGGAACTGAGCTGAGGCCTCGCACATGCCAGACAAGAAGTCTACCACTAAGCTTCAACCCCATCCCTTGTCATAGCAGCCAAAGAGGGTCCACAGTCAGCTATCCATATCCAAAGATTCATTCCAGCCCAGTCATTTGAACAGCATTTTCTCTGATGGGAACCATACTTTTTCCCTCTAATTGTAAATCCACTTGGCCTCTAGCAGCATCCCTTTCCTGGAACCTCAGGACCCTACTCAGCTTCTGACACCGATGTGATCCTCAGTGCTGTTGTGAACAGTTAGTTCCTCCTGGGTGCTGCCTGAAGGTGGAAGAGAAACTCCTATCTAATAAACTGACCCCAGCAGCCCTGTGTAAACAGTCCTTACACTTTGTCACGCACGATTGCTGTTGTCGACCTGAGAGGATCTAGTCACCGAAGAGATGAGTCTCCGGTCACGTCTGCAGGAGTTTTATTAGATTAGGCTAATTGAGGAAGGGAAGGAGAAGAGCCACCCTAAAAGTGTGGGCAGTACAATTCTACCAGCTGGGGTCCCACCTGGACAAAAAGGGGGAAGTGCACTGAGCACCAGTGACCGCCACACCCTGATTCATCACGTGGGTTCAGGTGACCAGCTGTCCTGCGTCCCTCCCCCCACCACGATGGACTATACCGAAGCAAACCCTTCCTTCCTCGAGTTGTCTCTCTCAGGTGTTTGGCCATAGCAATGAGAAGAGTTAAGACAGATTCATGCCTGTACAATAAAATAAGGAATTTCTGATACCACAGACTTAATTCGATAAACATATTTTCCATATACTTGCCCTGTCGGTTTCTGAAAGACGAATGTCAAAGCGTCTGGTTAAAATGAGGGCCTTGTCTACTTCCTACGTCAGTTTTGGTGCCGTGTGTTGGGGAGTTGTGTCTGTTTTGAGACAGGGTTTCACAGTTGAGTGAGGCTTAACCTCGAACTTGCCACCGCCTGCCTCAGCCTTCCCAGTTTTGTGATTATCTGCATGTCCTACCAGGCCCAACCGACTATGTCTTCTGTCACCGAGCAGTGACCCTTTCAAGTTCTGATCACACAAAGCAAAATTCAGAACTAACCAAATTGCCAGTCTGTTTGTAAGTAGTCAACAACCCCTATCTTCATAGCTTCTGAGATGTTGGGTAAAAGCCCTACTGCGCTGGTAAAAGCCCTTTCTTCTGTCTTCTCCCCCACAAAGGTAGATAAAATTGTTCCATGAGTGTTTATCTAGCCACATCTTGTCTCATTCAAAGCAAGATGCTGAGCCGTGGGACTCGGTAACTTTGGAAATGATGGCACCCATCTGCCAAGCTCCTAACCCTCTCAGCTTCTTGAGGGGAGCCAGCCTCCTTCAGATGGAGCCTAGCCCTCTAACTCGGAAAACTCAGAATCCAGATTCCCAGTGCTGCCACTCAGACAACTGCAGGCCTCCGCTGGTTGCCTAGACCACCGTGAGCCTCCGCTCCCTCGTCTGCAAGGGTTCTCACGAGGCCTAACACAGTGTGTATCGGCATTCTGCACAACCCCAGGCACACAGTAGCACATGCTCAGATAGCACCCATCTTCCGTGAACCCGGGGCTCAGTATGCAATGCTTAACTGTGGAGTACTTCTGAAGATGCTGATGATTGTTTGTTATTATTAAAGTCATTGTGACCGTTGCCTTGGAAACTGCTACCCAGAGTGTGTAATGCTGTGAGGACAGCCTGGTTACGCTGACAAGCTCTGAGGAATCTCACGGTAGCCTAAGGATGCACCAATGGGAAAGCCATCATAACTGTCCTGTTAAATACATCCCTTGTGTCCTCGTCAAGAAAATGACACCTTAATAACATTCTATGTGATCTGACTGTTACCATAGAGGTGGATATTTTAAACGCATCTAAGTTAATCTGCAACATTACCTTTTCTAATTTGCAGTTTCTGTAACCTAACAGCTATTTTTGCGATTGAGACCTTTGGAGTGATTCCCAGGTAATGAGCAGTACCTAACGGTTGCCATTTGTATTTGTTTGCTTGTATTTGTTTCCTGTTTTTACTTTTTTGAAACAAAAATCTCCTAACCCAGGCTGGCCTGGAACCCCTGATCCTTCCACTCAGCACAATGCCTAGTAGAGAGAAGATGGGTCCAAGAAAGAACCATCTGCTTGGCCATAGAGGAGAAAAACAAAAACAAAAAAACACGAAGATAACTGCAGGCCCAGAGAAACTGTAAAATTACAACACATTGCTCTAGTCAGACATTAAAACCCCAAATATATATATTAAAAAAAAAACACACACATGTCTGGACTAAGAAATAATCTCTCCTCATGGGAGGTACCTCTGCAGAATCTAGCTGAAGAGGCCTGAAGGACCCTCAGCAGACAGTAGCTTCCAACACACACATACACACATGCACACACACACACACACTCTTACACATTTACACATTCACAATCAAACACATACCCATGCAAACTCATATACACATGTTCACCCATGCTCTCACAGATACACACACACAAAGACACACAGACATTGACACATGCCCTCACACACATCCACAAATGCTCAGTTACCACAAGCCATTTAACCAGACCCTGCGCCTGGAGGGGTGGCTCCCCTTACTCTGTAGCCTGAGGTGGAAGGAGTGTTTAAGCCCAGGAGTTCCAGGCGAGCCTAGAAGGTCTCCCTAAGGCCAGGCCTCTCTGAGTGTCTCCTTCTCTCTGAACTTCCAGCACGTGGTGGCACCATCTTCATGGTTGGCAGTTCTCGTTCTTTCTTTGATTCCTGAAATGCTACATCTTACCAATTGCCAAGACAAATCCGGTGTAACTTTGAAATGTATCTTGGACCTAACCAGGTCTCTCCATTTTTCACCCACATCATCACTTACAAATACCCTAAAGCTGGTTTACACACCCCTCCCCGTTCATGCTTCACACTAAGTCAGGATCCATCCTGTTAGGCACCATGAAACTCCCTCTTGTCCTTTGCCTAAACTCCACACACTCTACTTACTGTAAGCTTTTTCTTATCTGATGCATGCCACCCTGGTTTTTTTTTGGGGGGGGCATTGTTTGGGGGAAGGTCTTTTTCTTTTTTTCCTTTGCTTTTGTTACCTCAGGGCTGCAAAGCAAACGAAAGGCCTCATTCCTGGTAGACAAGGGCCCTACCACTGAACCACATTCCCACGCCCGCACCTCCCTCTCCTCATTTCCAACCGTGCTGTCCGGCTCTGGTGTCCCAGTCACACAGAAAGGCCATGGGAGGACCTCCGGGCTTCTTCATGCTTCCACAGCCCCACACATACTCTATTCAGCCACAGTCACTTCCTCCTCCACCAGGCTTGACCAGCTGACTCCCACCCACACCAGCTTCCCTCCCGGGCACCACTCCACAGAATGTGTTCATGCTTCCTTTCTCTCCTACTGATCACTCCAGTCTCCCTGGTCAGCCTCGAGCATTTGACCATGTTGGGGACAGATGCGAGCTAGGTCTTCAGTGGGACTGAGTACCTTAACAGGCAGAGCGTGAAAAATGACTACTGATGATGTCTTTGTTGTTGTTTTTATTCCAGCCCGAGTGTCTACCTAGTAGCTTCCTTTCTTTTTGTCCTGATGATCACGTTCATCAGCATTCTAGTTCTGAGCTATTTCTGGTACATGAAGATTTATAGACAGTTTATTTTTGAGCCACTTCATAAGCCTCCTGGAAAACAGAAGAAGAGTTAGGAAAACTGAGTTAACTCTGGCTATATATATGTATGTAGATAGATACATAGATAATGCATGTATACGTAATTATATTAAAACTGTATTTGGCTAACAAACATTAAATATAAGCTCATACTATTATTAAATTCAAGATCTGAAAAAAGTTCTTAATTATGCCCCCACATAACATATATTATTGTGTATGTTATTTTTTCTATTCATCTTAAGGACAACATATATACTATTACATTGCATTTAGAAAATAAAAATCAGTTACCTTTGGCTATTATGATACTTCCTAACCATGAAAGTTTTGACAGAGAATAAATGTGTCAGATATTATTATTTTATTGGATCATATGGAACCTTATGTAATTGTAGTTAAGGACTGAATAAATGCTTATTTCATTTAAGTCATCTGTTTTTAAATGGATTTCAGAGGTTTTTCTAGTGGTGGGTTCACATAGGAGTCATAAAAGTTACATAGAAGGGGGCAGCATGGGCTGGAGAGATAGCTCAGCTACTGAAGGCTAGGCTTTCAACCAAAAATACTGAAATGGGCAGCTAAAACTCTAAATTTTAATTCTGTTTTATCCTTTGGTTTGCATGTTCAAAATAAGCTTAATTTGTCCAAACTGTATTGTAACTTTTAAAAGTTAAGTTTTTTTTTTATGTGTATGTGTATGTGTGTGTGTGTGTGTGTGTGTGTGTGTGTGTGTGTGTGTGTGTGTGTAAAGATTATGCTGTCTGGGAAACAATGCTGATGTGGACCCTGGTTCTTACTGTACCAATTAAGAATGAAGTAGCAGCTGGGAGATGATGGCACATGCCTTTAATCCCAGCACTCAGGTGGCAGAGGGAATCCGATATCTGTGAGTTCGAGGCCAGGCTGGTCTACAAGTAAGTTCCAAGGCAGCCAAGGCTACACAGAGAAAGCCTGTCTTGAAAAACCAAAAGACAAAAGAAGGAATGGATTGGTTCCCATTACCCACATGGTGACTCATAGTAACTCCAGTTCCAGAGGATCTGATACCCTTTTCCAGCCTCTAACAGCACTGCACAAAGGTGATACATAGACACACACACACAGGTAAAACACCCATACACAAGAAGGAAAAGAAAGAAAGAATTTTTTAAAGGCTTAATCCCATTTCTCAGGAGAGAGGCAGAGCAGGTTGATGAGAAATCCACAGTAATCCTGGGCTACATAGTGAGACCCTGCTTCTTGACAAACAAACAGAACCCAGTAGCCTAGGGTGCTTAATTGCAGCCATCCCTGCCTCCGGTTACGGAGCAGCAGTGACAGCGTGGGCAGCTGCCAGCTAAGACTTCGCTGATCGCTGTCCTTTCTGTCTCACCAGACTGGCGGTTGTCAGCGGCTTACCAAGTCACTCCAAAACAAAAGACGTCCAGGCCAAAACATAGCCCTCGAGTTTTCCAGCTGTGCTATCTGTTTTTGCTTGTTTTGTTTGTTTGTTTGTTTGTTTGTTTGTTTTTAACAAATACCCCAAATTGTTAGATTTTACCAAAGAAGTCTCTGGAGCCAGATGCTGGGGTGAAAGCGTGCTAGGTCAGAGAGGCAGAGAAAGCACCCAGCTGACCTATCTCCTCAGCTGATATCTCGAAAGGCAAAAAGAAGCTCTCCTTCTCCTCTCTCTCTCTCTCTCTCTTAATTTTTCAAGACAGGGTTTCTCTGTTTTAGCTCTGGCTGTCTTGGAACTCACTCTGTAGACCAGTGTTGCCTCGGAGTCACAGAGATCTGCCTGCCTCTGCCTTTAGAGTTCTGGAATTAAAGGCATGTGCCACCCACTCCATGCTGTCTCAAAAATCCCTCAAATGGAAAGTCCCTCCCTTCTACTTCCTGTGCATCTCTCTAACCATCCTCCTGACTTCCTCTTACTGGCTATGGTTGTCTCCTATGTTCACTCCCTGTCAGCTGATTGTTTGCTCCGCCTCTTCACCTATGGCTGACTTTATTTAACCCGTTTACAATAAGCAGAAAGCTCCTGGATGAAAGGTGTGTGCTAGGGCTGAGCCACACCACAGCTAGAAACCGTTTTTTCCAATAAATAACACTATTTCCGGGTTCGGTGTGATCAAAATCCTGAAATACTACCTCCTTTTTGTCTAAATAAAAAGAAAGATTTTAACTCTGACACAGTAAAACTATTACAGTAATGAAGCTATTTCTGCCAAGCTTTCTACAGTGACCATCTTGGTTATACTTGGCAGTTTTAGGATTAAGTATTTTTGAGTCAAAAGTTCTGCAAAATGTTTATGTCAGTCTCATAGGAACTCAGCAGTTTCAATGTCCTGAGCATATTGCAGTCTGAAGCTGATCTTTGGGTGGTGTTTTTCAGCCTAGTGGCAAGGCTGGCTAGGTAGAACACAGCAGCCAACCCGAAGGTGTCCACTGTGTGCGCAGAACCTGGCGGCAGAAGAGGCATAGGGCAGTTTTCCCAGTGGTTAGTGTTACCACAATCAGATGGGTTCATCCTGCAGGGCCCCATCATCTTCTTGGAGTCCTCAATGGTTACCATCAGGAATGGCGGAAAACTTAAACGTGTTAAATGCCATAGTCAGCAGATGCCCAAAAGGTTTAAGAACCACAGTGTACTAAGTACATCTGAATCTACAAACTTTGTTCCTAGTCACCTGCTTCAGACTCAAACCTGAAAACACACACAGGAGGCTAGAGGACTACTAGTACCATGGCAGAAAGTTTATATAGATATAATGAGTTTATAGATTTTGAGATAATATTTATACCTTGAGAAAAATTCTAAAGAGTCAAATGAAAAACAAAAGATTATGAGATTGGTGGCAATAGATTAGTCCCTTATTTTTTTTGTTTTCCTCTGTCCCATGCAAGGGGGCTCTTCTGATATGAGAAAGAGATTTGGGGTTTTCATTTAACAAGCATGCATGGGTTGAGAGAAGGAGAGAAGGCTCCAACCCCAAAGCCAGCTTTCATTTTTAACTGCATTGGAACCACATAAAGACCATTTGCCACTGATGTCTTTAGAGGGCAGCAGAGACAAGCTGGAGGTGGGTGATGTCGCTTGGCCAGTTTACTCTTTTTCTTGGGACGTTTTCTCTTGATGAGCTGCCATTTTCTTCAGATATTTCACTTGTCCAATTGTCTCCGGATTCCCTAGTTGGATGCTTTTATTCTCCTGGAAAGACAAAAATAGAACCCTGCCCCAATCCTAACTCTGGGAGCAGGGAGAGGGGGTTCCTCTTTAGGCAGGTTATATCTTTCCTAGGGCAAAATAGCTTTTGGCAACAGAAAAAGTATTAATCTTGCAATTAAAATTTTTTAAAAAAATTCTTTTGAAAATTTGAAACTATGCCTTCGTATGTGTGTATAAATATACATATATTCCCCTTTCTTTTCATATATAAACTCAAGGTTTAAGTGTATTTATTTTTAGATAACAAAGAACAATCACTTTGAGTTTCAGACTGCCATTTGCAAGCAGCTTTTAAATTTAAATCACTAATTCCTATATTTCTGCCTCTGCCTCCCAAGTGCTGGAACTAAAGGGGTGAACCGCCACCTCGGTATGGATTCCTATTAACAGTTATTCTCATAGGGTTATCCTGGTTTAATTTGGTTCTCCACTTCCCCTTATTTTTTAGTGTTAGGGGTAAACTTTCAAGTTTTTCAAATGTGTAATCTATCATTCTTGCTGATTAAGTCTAAATTTGTTCCCTGGCAAACCTTAATATTCTAGTCTTAATTAAACATGATGCCAATGTGTCCCCTATTTTATTATTTTCAGATGGTTTGTCTGTCTTACCTGTATGAACCACATAAAATTAGATGTTTTTGCTAAGTTTTGCTAGGTTTTGCCATTTCCATTGACGCCTCCCATGACCAGATATCTTTGCCATTTATCTGCCAGTTAGTGGATTTCCATTTTGACGTCCATAGAGTTATACCATTGCACACACACCATGAACTGGAAAAGATAGAGATTTTCCCTTTTGCTTTCCTAGTTGCCTGTCTTATAGTCAATAGTGCTGTGCTGATTTGGAGGTTTCTTCCTCAGTATTGGCTATTCCATCCCCCGGTCCACAGGCTGCCGCTTCCCATTAGTATTGATTCCGTCAGTGGTTGAACCATCAGTAATCCATGCATTAGCCAAATGCTGTGACAATTCCGTTAGTCCCCACAGTTCAATAGGTGCCTCTTTATGGGGTACGGTGAGCAGTTTAGGGATGGGGATTATAAGCAACTGAGCTCTTTACTCAGGGTGGGAAAGCTACCACATGCTGGTCATTAAGGAACTCCAATAGGTACCAGTTCCACCCTAATACCTTTCCTTCCATAGCTAAGCCTTCGAAAGACTCTACCTTTGAACCATGCAGGCCATTATTGTAAGGGGTGCCCTTATGACCATAGGGTGGTTGAAAAAATTACTGAATATAAGGTCCTCCATGCCTCATAAAATGTCCAGATTTGTTTCTCAAACATAGTATTTAATCTTCGCATAGGGAAAGCGTTTGCAATAAAAGTCAACAGGCAAATGTTGGTGGACTCCCTTTTGCTTTATGAAGAGTCCCCAGTTGTCAGTTTACCAATAACTATGATTCATAATTAGGGTATCATCTAGTTCAATTATTGGTCAGGGTTGCATGCACAGAGATGAGCTTACTGGCAATTGCAAAATCTGCTCTTCATTCCTGTCCCCAGTGGAAATTAGTTGTCTTTCTAGTAACTCTGTAGAGGGTTTTTATAATAACCTGTAAATATGGTATATGATTTCTCTAGTGGGCAAACATACAAATTAGGAGCTGTATCTGAGTTTTGTCGCTTGGTGGTGGGATTAAAGACATGTGCCACCACTACCTTGTTCACTATAACTGTAGAATTTAGAAAACAACTAACTTATAGAGATTCTCCTGTCTCTGCTAACACTGAAGGCATAGGCTACCACCACCTTGCTCAAATATTTTATCTTACTTCCAAATCACTCCAACTCTTAGAGATTTTGAAAAGAAGTTTGAACTGT